GAGGAACGCAGCGGGCAGCTTTGCTCACTGAGCAGGTATGATACAGAGCACAATTAAATATGCTGGAATAATCCTGAGAGCACTATTCATGTGTAACACTCAGTACTTGGCCTCTCAAGGCTGGCACGAGAACAAACACAAGACCCTTCTGTCTCCATGAACCAATAATAGCAATATTTGTTCAAAGTATTGCTGTGAATTCCCTTCCTTCATCTTTTCAAACTGCCAGATGCCAAAGGCAGCTGATAAACGAGAGCATTGTTAGTGGCCAGCATTCCATATCAAAGCTCCAGATGCTCTGAGAGGCAAAGCCAGACATTTCCTGAGTGGATTTCCAGAGCTTCAGTAAGACTAAGCATAATCCATGAAGAATCCACACTGTCAGTAGTGTTACTAGCTGCCAGCACATTCCCAAGCATGTAGTGATACTGTTTGCTGGAATAATTATTCCTAAATGAATATTCTACCCAACTGTGGCAGGAAGGCAGCCTCTTCTTGGAATTCAGACTCACCTTCACAGTCCTGGAGGGAGCAAGGTTTTTTGGGATGGATTTGTGTCAGCCCTGCTGAGAATGCAGCTCCTCACATCCTGCTGAACCACATCTGATCTGCCTCCAAATACCAGTGAAAGCAACTCCATCATGCCACCATGCCTGCAGGTCCCAAGCACTCCTCAATGCTTCTATCAATTTTTTTCCTTGGATTTTCCCAAAGGCTTGATCCAGATGGGGAAAGAGTAAAAGTCCCATGCAGCAACTTGCCAAATATTCACTGCATCAGCAATAAAGTAACCAAAGCTCATTTTCTCTTCTAATTTTCCTGAGGTTCTGGTCCTCCCATGAGTTACCTGTAGCAATACCAGACACCAAACAAGTCAAAGAAAAGCAGCTGCCAAATGATTGTGTTCTTTATGGGCTTAAACAGAAATATCATGGAAGAGAAATGCCACTTTCCATTTGAAATTGGTGACCTATGTAGTAAAGCAGGAAAAGGAGAAAACCACCCTTTAAATAAAAGTTTATTACTTCACCTGTTCTTACAAATACTTGTAATTTTCCAGAAGGTATTAAATATTTTTTTATGCCAGAAAGTTACCTAGGAAAAAGCACTTTTACTAATATTTCCTCTGTAAGGACAGGGAAAGGAAAAGGGAAAAAAGTGAACTCAAATTGATCTCTCTGCACTGTAAAATTTCAGTATTCCTACATGTGCCTAACTTTCTCTAACACATACCTAAACACACAAAAAGGTAGTTGGATAAAACCAATATTTTTTTCTTGCAGTTATTATTTCATCAAATCCCGTTTCTAGGCAGAAACACTCAGTTACCCTTAATTGTTTTAGCTTTCATCATAGAGAGGATTGAAGACCAGCTGATTTAAAGGGAATATTGTGAGTGGATGTTTTGAGATCCTTTGCAAGCAGTACAGCAGTGTTTTGTTAGTGAAACTTCCATACAGAATTTGGACTTCATTGCTCTGGTCTTTTCCTTGCCACCTCCAAATATTCTGGCTTTTTCTCGATTCTTTCACACTTGCACTATGATTGTTCTTAGTGTGCAAATATTTGTGTTAGGTCTCTGAAACTCATCCTTCTGTGGATTTCACAGTAAAAATCACTGGGGAAAGGAGGGCAGGAAAGGCAGGGAAGGGAATTTTCTGCCTCTGGATGAGGGAAGCCATTAGGAGGCTCTCTGCTCTAGGCTTTTGACTAATTCATAGTCAACACCATGGTTTTAGATCAATTGCAGCCAAACTTTTTAAGTTCCTTTGTTTCCTTCCGCAGCCTGCAAGAAAACTTTCCAAACAGGCATTAAAAACCTGTCCTGTTTATATTTTAATGGATGAGGAAATTTTCCAGTATCTCAGCTTCTTCCCAGCCCCACTGGGACCAGAATTTGGCAGCATTTTAATATGGGAGAAAGGAATAATTTTGCATCAGGTGTCAGCAGTGCTGTGTTCTCATGAGCATTAAACATGCACACCACTGGCCTAAAGGGGTTCTTAGGAACAGTGAGAGAAGTCAAAACTAAATCTTTATTTCTACATATTTTTTGTTCATTGTTTTAAATAATTATTTAGAGCCAGCTCTTCATTGAAAGAACAAAATGTGGGCAATACCAAATTGGAAAGGGGAAAAAGCAGCACAGGAGTCTGAAAGCAATCTGTCAGGCTCTTGGACACAATGAGGGTAATTTCTTTATCCAGGTGATAGTACCAAAAGAGAGGAAGCATCACTACACCTGTTGCTTACCAGAACAGATAAAATAAATGTTGTGAGCTTGGTTTTTATTTATTTATATGTTTGTTTATTTACATTTACTTTTTTAAATGGTAGAGATGTCAATATTGGCAGCAGTGTGGGCTGCAGTGATCATGCCCTGGTGGGTTTCACAAGCCCACAAGGAATACAGGCCAGACAAAGAGTCAGAACACTGAATTTTAGAAGACAAACCATCAGTTGTTTAAGGAACCAGTGGATGGAATCCCCTGGACAAGTTCCTTCAGGGAAAGGAGCTGTGCAGAGCTGGCCACCTTTAAAAACCTATTTATTCAAGCAAAGAGCACTCAATTCTTCTTTTGGAGCAGCTGTCAGAACTGTGCAAATTAAACACCTGGGGAGGCTGGTGTGACAGTAGCTTCAGATTGAATCACCACATTGCTGCAATAAATTGGACTGGGAATGTTGAATGCTCTTTTGGTTGTCTTTGCTGAAAAGGATGAAACTAAAGCGTGTTTACCCTTTGTAAAGATGAAGAAAGATACCTTCAGGGGGTACAGGAATATAGTTGGTGGTAACTGCAGTCCACTGGGGTTTGGATAAGGTCCTGTGCCATGTTTTCAGTGATTTCTGAACATTATACTGATACTGGAACAGTTCAGAAGCTGCCACATCCACCAAGTGCACATCTTTAATACCTGTGACTAAATCACACAGGAAAACATAACACAAGTACACAAGTCAACAATAAGTTACAAGGCTGCTTTTATTAAGATAACAAAACTCCTATAAACAGACTCAGTCACAAATAACAGTTTCTGCTGAGCATGCAAGGTATCAAATACAAGCTACTGGTTCACATTTCATCCTGAGGAGTAATGCTCAGCTTTTGAAAACAGCATAGCTCCACCAAAATCAACAGGCAGATCTCTAATCCTGTCACCTCCAAGAAGTTCAGGATTGTAAGTACTAAAAACTAGAAAAATATTTATAGTAAAATAGCTGATCCTGTCACTGAGTGCCGAAGGCAAAGACATTTCACATTTGACAGCAAACTGAGCAAAAGTTAAGAGACTCCTACATAACAAGAACTAATTGTTGTGCTGTTGTCCAAAGAAGTTGTGGACTCCCCATCCCTGGAAGTGTCCAAGGCCAGGCTGGATGGGAATCTGAGCAAGCTGGGATAGTGGAAGGTGTCTCTGCCCATGGCAGGGACTTGGTGCTAGATGGTCTTTAAGGTCCCTTCCAACCCTTCCATTCTGTGAGTCCGCGTTCATCAGACTAAGACTGCAAAGATATTTTATAGTTTCATCACTTACAACTAAATGGATTTTTATTTTTTTAGATCAGGATCTGGTAGCTCTTATTTCCATAAGGAGAAGACAAGTCAAAGTGTCTTACTCCTTATAGAGTCACTTGAATCTAAAGCAGAATGCAAATGATTATTCTGAAATTTATTGATATAGTTAAAAGGCATATATAAAAGCTCTAAAATCAATCAGTACAACCTTTTTCAAAATGTGGAAGTCTGTTACCCAGTAATCTTATTACCTAATAGAAATTGGACTAGGGGGATAGAAAAGCCACTTTCCTCTGCTATTCTGTACCCAAAACTCAGCACCTAAGTGCTTTGGCTACTAGAAACATTCATGACTTAAGCTAAGGACCAACTTCCACTAAGAGTTATTTACAATGGTGTCCATTAGTTTATAAATCACTAAGTTAGCTGTGACCCAGGCACAGCAGATTATCACTGTGTAGGAGGAGTGACTGCAGCAAGCAGAACCATGGGCTGGTGGGACAAGTTATTGACACCTCTTCACCTCCCATCCTTCAGCACACCCACTGAGGTGGGGATTTGGGGCAGCAGAGAAGAGCAGCCCAGGAAAGAGCCCTGCAGGAGATGATGACTGCATGGAAGAGGTTTCTGCTCCAGTTTATCCAGCTGAGATCGTTGTTGTACCCAATGGACCATGCAAACTGAGCTGCTGCTGCTGCACTGATGGTCTTGGAGCCAGGCAAAATTCAGGTCAAATTTATTTGCAGTTGGAGACCTCACTTAGGTGGGCAGCACTATGTGGCTTGACTGCACCATCATTAGGGTCTAATTAAGCAGAATACACAGGTATCAGTTGATTTATCTGGAAAAACATGGGCTGCCAGCAACAAAAATAGTTTATCTTTTTTTTCTTTCTTTCTTTCTTTTCCACTGAATCCTTGCTGATTACAGAATGAATCAAATTTAAAAACTCCTGCTGAAGAACACCCTGAGTAGGTTAAGCCCCAGATCCACAGGGGCTTTTCCTTACTTGGTGGCAAATCCAGTGCTTGTTCCCCAGCTTCTGTATACTTAAGGCATTGCACAATTAGGTCTTCAACGCTGTTGCAGCTCAAAGTTTCAACCTCACCCTGAGTAAACAGCAAATTACAAACTGAAAAAGAGATCTCTCTGAGGGTTTGCTGATTCACTTCCTTGAATATCAATGGAAACATGCAGCTTGTCAATATTAATGGCACAAGTGATGCTGAGATGAGCACATAGTGATATGTCACAGTGAGAAAATCAGATCTTGGAACTTGAAGAGAGAGACAGATGTCTTTGTTTTCTTCCCTTCTATTTTATCAATGGAAAAACTGCCAAAATTCACTTCAACCTGGAGCTGTTGTCACAAAGAGTTCTTAAGACACCAGGGAAGAACCAGATTGCTAAGAAAAAAAGAGGTGGAAGGGAGAAAGGGGGTATAGAAACCTTTTATATATTACATTAATTTGAAAGAGTCAGTGTTGTGTAGAGCAAGGAAAGCCAAATGCTGAGTGAAGACAAACTTCAGATCTCCTTGTGATATGATCCCACTAGGAAAAAAAATATAAATTAAATTAATCAGGACTGAGACAAGTAATCAGCTCCCTTCCAAAGACAGTTAATACATAGGAAAGAAGAGCTGAGTAGTTCCAGCTCCAAAAGGGAGCCATTAACTGAGACTCCATCATGATGTAAGAGTGTTATGAACCTGACAATATTCTTTATGCTACAACCTCTTTGCACAACTCCAGAATTCCCATTACTACGAGGTATTACTCAGGTGAGCAGAATGATGAGCACAAGGAGAAGAAGAATAAGAATGAAGCCATTCTTGCTCTGTGGAGAGACTCAGAGATTTCATGTGTAGGTTTTAATTCAATGAATCTTGATATGCCCTTTGTGCTGGTTTATGGCTCTGTGGTGGGATTCGTATCCCTGATGGAAATACAGCTGCTGGAGTTGTACCAAGGAGTCCCAGGTACCTTCCCTTGGGACTCCTGACACATCCAGTTCTTGGGAAGCCACCAGAACATCACCCTCACCTCAGCCATCTCCCAGGAGCTGCCCAGAGCTGGGTAAGTGGGATGAAAGACAGGGAAATACAGCTAAATGTGACCACTCAAGACTTAGGAGCAGGAAGCTGGGATAGAGCTTTCCCTGTCCTTTGCCTGTGGTGTATATTACACATCACTGCGAATTGAAATGAATCACCTGCGAATGCCATGGGGATGTGTCCAGTGCATTTACTGAGGCCGTGGCATTGTCCTGTGGGAGGCCTGCTCCAGGGAAGGATTACTGACTAACTCTAGCAATAATGGCAAATAAACCCGTTTCCAGGAGCAGAATTCAATCCACAGCAAACATCCTTGAGTTGGGAAGTGCTGTTAGGTGGTGTTTCTCAGCCTGACAGCTTTCTCACTTTGCTCTCCTCCTCTTAAAGAGACAAGCATGCAAATGATGCTGAGCTGCTAGATTCTGCAATTCTACAGAAAAACGTGCTGAATCCTGTGGTATCCTGAGAAAGTGTTAAATTCTCAAGTTTCAGACCATGTGGCAGTGGTTAAGTCTCCTCAGAGCTGTGCTTTCAGACTCTCTGCAGGCACATGTAAGCACTGCTTATGCATCTCAATATTTCAAACTCTACATGTTTAACATCCCACTACTTTCTCAAAAAAAAAAATCTCAAAAAAATAATAATTAAACCTAAGCTTCTACAGAAAGGGATAACTTCTGAGATAAATTTATAAAGAGAGTGGTAAAGTTTCTCTCCTTTATTACACTAGTGACTGGTTTAAACTCAAAAATTATATGTTTTTTTGGTGGAAATAATTATTGGTGTTTTCTAAGGTGATGTGCTATTTCTAAGGTGATGTGCCATCTTCTGACTGAGATCAAAACCATGAAGGAAGATAAAGGACACAATACAGTCTTCTTCCTCTTGTAGGCTGCATCATTTGAAAACAGGGAAGAACAGTAGGAATTTCTTTCTTACTTGTATGGCCTTTACCCACAGCAAAAAGGAAAGAGGACGGCAGGTTCAAATATTCTCATATAAAAGATGTTCATCTGCAAGTATTTCACCATTTCAGGAAGAGATAAACAGCTAAAAAGTGCAACTGATCATAATTCATGTCTTACATGTGGCAACCTGGGAATCACTAATCATAGAACACTTGGTAGCTGAAGTTGTCAGACTTGATCCTGAGGTTGTATCTCCCCGTCTTTCGCTGGTACTGGAAAATGAGAAGGGTCACAACTCCCAGCACAAAACCAAACACAGCAAGGGCTATGAGGATGATGTATCCAATTCCCATTCCAGCCTCCTTCCCTCTCTTCGAATCAGATGCTATAAAAAATATAAATAAATAAAATAAATCAAGAGGTAAAAGTAAAAAACGTTGATATTCCTAAATCTTTTACTGGGGAGAGAAACAAGCCCTGCATGTTAATTATCCAACATGCCAGTACAGAATTGTGCTAAAGCAGTGTATCAGCCTTCTGGGGAGGATGATTCTCATGCAAAGGGTGTGAGGACAGACCATGCTCTCTCTTTACATACCAGTGTAGAGTCCCTGCAGACATGAGTGTGATTTTCAGCTAAAGCAAGAATTAAAGAATTAGTGCTGGTGACTTTTTTAAATGCTGCCTTGCTTTCAGAAGTGCTTTAGAGGTGAAGCATTCCCCTAGGTTAATCCTGCCTCCATTCATTTATGATTATAAAAATTACTTGGTTTGCTTTTATCATATATGTAATATTCTTCAAACACAGGTTATTTGGGGAAGGTTCTCTGTGTGTGCTGGGTCTCTAAGCTCCCAGCTGAGCCAGCAGCGATGTGGCTGGGTGGTCAGTGGAGTGACACTGGCTTGGTCACCACGGGCTCAGTGCTGCAGCTGAGCAGTCATTTGGAGCCAACTGAGCAGCCCAAGGCTGTGTGCAGTGTCTGCACAAGTCTGGCAGGCAGGGCACAGGACCTGCAGGACACCTGTGCTCTGCTGGAAGAGCACCCAGACCCAGAGGGGAAGGAAAGAACGAACACCAAATGCCCCAGTGTGGGCAAGAGTCAAATCCCACATTGCCAACTGCCTCCCAAGGCACCACAGATCACAGAAAGAGTTCTCCTGGTTCCCTTTTAACCACTTCCATATATTTGTCCAAATCTGCAAGCAGAATTTATTCTCTCCCTTTATCATTATGCCTCTTTTCCTATTTGTCCAAGTGCTTGTAATTCCTTCCTCGATGCACCTACAGAAACATGCATTTCTTTGCTTACATTTTCAGGAGACCACTTGTTTTGCCAGGCACTTGTGTGGTACCTGAGGTACACAGAAGATAAATACCACTGCACACATGCCTGCAATTAGAGACAAGATATTTTGGCCAAAGGGCACTGCTGGCAGCCCCAGAGGTCAGTAAGAGCAGTGCTCAAGCTACAGGACACCCAGGGCATCATTCCAAGACAGGCCAAAACAGTGCTGTGCAATATATTCAGTCTCACTTTTGAATTTCAGCATAAAACAAAGGAATAAAGGAGAACATGCATGGTGGGAATGGCAGCCTGTAGCCAGACACAGAGCAGGCCCTCCTGAGCACGTGGGACTTTGCCATATGACAGCTGACCAAGTCTTGGCAGAGCAGGTAAAGTGTTTCATGTTCCACTGCAGCACTTACACCTGTTGTTACCTGACATCATAATTCATGTTACCCCTTCAATACAGAGATGTAGATCACTTAATATGTGCTATGATTATCCAAACTAGAAATAAGAGACAGCATCCAAAAGTGCCACCTTTGCCAGGAAATCAATTTAGCACAATTCAAAGAAAGCTCTCCTCACCAGAGGCCCTTTTGGAAAATGGCCATTTTCCAAATTAGAAGTTAATCAGGATTTCCAGCAAAAATAGGAGTGAAAGCTACTTGTAAGAGCTGAACAAAGAAAGCTGCATTAATTGCTTTATTTATCTATTTATTTATTTTTAAGAATTAATTCAGAAATGAGTACTGAGGGCCTATTTGAACAGACCATGTAATGGAAGAAAAATACATTCTTCTAAGTCAGAGTCAGTTCCTAGGTCCAAAAGAACATTATGAACTGTCTATTCACGGTAACCACGAGTTAAGATTCTGATATTGGTGAGCCAAAACAGTCTCAATGAGTGTTTTACTGTAAGAAGTTATAAATGTAAAGCTGGAGGGGGCCAAATGACTGAAAACATGAGAGACCACGGGTGCCCTTGAAAGCATCACTCAGGGTAAATGCAGAAAAAGCAGATGCATAACAAATTAGACCTTGCTTGTCCCTAGTGCTGGTGTTTGCCCTCAATTAACCTGTGCTGCACCAAATTAACCAAGGGTGCTGTGCATCAGCTGCTCTCTGCCACTTCCCCTCACCATGGAAATGAAGTCAATACCAGGGAGCCAAAGGAAACACAACAATAAAATCTCTTACATCCTCTGATTTGGGACTTCAGAGCCCAAAATAATTGCAGACTAACAGCAGTGTAAACACTTCATAACCAGATGCAATCGGAAAGGTGACTCTGCTTTCACACGTTACAACTGAAATAATTGTTTGATTTTGTGGTTGTTGCACTTGTTACCCTGTGCAAACAGCCACACAAAAGCACCTTATCTTCCTTTCTACATTCCCTTGACAACCTGACAGTCCCAGCTCTGAGCAGGGCACGTGCTTCTCCACGCTGCCACGTGGCTCCAGCAGGAATACCTGCTCCCAGGGAATACAGAGGGGCACAAAACCCTATGGGTCACAGGTCTTCAGGTTCCTTTGGCAGCAGAGAATAATCTGTCTTGGCATGAGAGTGTGCTCTCAACTCACCAGCTGATTTACACAGGGGTCCCCAGGATGTTCTGTGCAGGGCGAGGGTTTCTCCAGCCTTCAGGAGTCCAGCCCTTGCATGGCATCTCTGCAACGATCAATTCAAACTCCAACAAGTCATGTGGCTTTACTAATTAAAAATACAAAGCCTTCTGATAAGCTTGTGAAAGCCCGGTGCTACTCTCACCATCGGGCTTTTGTTTCTTAGTGTTATGCTCTGTTAAACTGAAATCAGCACCAAAAGGAAGTCCAAAAGAAATGGCATCAGGGAAAAATCAGTATAAAATCTGTAATTAGTCACACTGGAACACACTGATGTGAACACACAGGCAAACTTTCCATTGACTTTCTGTTTATGTTAGAGAAACCTTATGGGAGAATAAATTTATCACTAATGCCAGGGTTTTACAAGCACTTTTGTTTGGATGTTTCTGCTGCCCATGGCGGGCACTGCAACCAGCACCAGCAAAAGCAGCACCAGCTTTCAGACCCTGCTGAGGCGTGTGTCATTCTGAAGCTACCCGCAACCTCAGTGACACATGAACCATTGGTCTGGGAGCTGAAATCCCTGTCCTGGGGGATGCTGGGGAACAGCTTTAGCTCTGTGTGAGCAGCACTTGCAGAGAGGCATTCTCTGTGCATTTCTTTTCTTTCTGTTTTTGTTCGCTGCCTTTTTGTTTTAAGCTGCAGCCTAAAGCTCCCTGATGGGAACCAAAACCTACTGGCGTTATTCAAAGGGTACTGTGGCTCTCCTGGAAGAGCACAAAAAACCCCAGAGAAATGGCAGCACCATACCATGACCAGCAAAACCAGCAGGGTGTCTTACCAGCTTGTTTTCATCAGAATGTCTCAGCACTGTTACCAGTTTGGCTGCACTGACTAACATCTACCATCCTGCACTGCCAGCAACATTGTCTTCAGCTGGGTCAGCCCCCAGAAAAATAGCCATGTGGTTATTTATGACTTTGGTCTGCTTTCAAACAACTTTCCCTGGTCAGTAGATCCATTAGAGAACACATTTATGTAGTTCCTCCCTTATGGAAATGAATTTTTGGTTCCACATGGCTATGGAGCAGCCACGTTCCACCAAACATCTGCATGGTGGTGGCACACCCCTCCTCTTCCCATTCAAAGTAATTTTTCTTACTCATTTCTTACTACTTCTCTCCTCAGTCAGTCCATTTTTTTTTTTTTTATTTCAAATCTAAATTTTAGAGCACCTTACTGTCTTCCACAAAGAAAACAGGGAATAAATAGACTGAGTAAGAAGAAATAATACAAGATGTAAGCATCGAGTGTGTGGGTGAAGAGCTGAGCTAAACCTGCCCTGAAGCAAGTCACTATTCCCCAGAGTAACAGATCAGAGGGTCAGATCCCTGACCCAGGGCATTTTCCCAGCCATCTTACATTATTTACAAATATCCTCTGTTCTTGCTCATCTTCCTTGATCTTTGCACCTTCTGCAGCTCCTCCTCCCTTCTTTGTAAAAGCCATTGCTCACCCTGTGCAGGACTTGTCTTCCCCACATCACAGTTTATCCTCAACTGAAGATACTGAATTCACTGACTTCTCACAGGATAAATTTTGCATAGGAGAAAGAACAATGCATCTTATATATATTTGTATTTGTACTCAGCTGTGAAAACTGGAGCCATCTTACCATTGTCAGTCATGTTTCCTGTCCCTACTTTTTTTGCTTTTATTTTTGTTTTTTCAGTCTGGAGGAAGCCTTATACTTTGAGAAAGGAAACAAGCATCTTCTGGTAGCCTTTTTAAATCCTTTAGGAAGAGATCATTTGCTTTAAAATGGGTTTAACCTGTGTTATTTAGAGCTAGAGGAAAGTGTTAAACAATGGGGGAACACCAAACCGCTAATGAAAACATCCTTGAAAGAAAAAGAGCCAGGAAGGTTGGCAGAGGAAGAGGAGAATTCCCAAGTGTCTGCTAGTAAGAAAAAAAACCCACATCAGTTAAATGTTTTTTCTTATTCCTATGGCAGCAACACATTTTTAAAGCTGTGTATCACTTACTTGCGAGTAAAAAGAAACAATGCAATGCTTTGTAGCACAGACAATTAAAAATTGCAGTTCTTATCAGAATATGGATTAGTTTATTGCTTCAAAAAGCCATAATAAACTCTATTAAAGTCACAGCCCTAGAAACTTAATGACACTTAGCTTCCTTTCCTGGCATCTAAACTCTCAGCTGAAGAAGCAAATCTGTAGTGAATAAGAAAAAAAAAAAAAAAAGGATAGAAAAATGCATAAATTTACTCAGACGTTCTTCTGACTCCTCTGGGAGTTCCTATTTTGTGACACATCCATCTGAGCTGATACTTTTCTAACCAGCCCAATTTCATTGCTTTTTAGTCATCCTTAAAATGAGTGGAAGGTTGAGTTCTCAGGTTCCCCAGCTCTGTGCAAGCTCCATGTGTTTTTCTAGGAGGATGAGCAACAGGAAGAAAAGCTGACCCTTCCATATGGTTGTAGTGTTTCCCTACTCCTCTCTGCTCTCACCAGAGAACAAAAGAAACCTCAAGAGTTATTTTAAACCTTGTTTTCAAACACTACTCCTTCCATTCCATCACAGGAGTCCATATGACAATGAGAAAAATATATTTGGGGGGGGAAAATAACAGAGCAAAACACTTACAGTCCTGCAGGTGCTTCCTGGTGACTCCATACAAATACGAATTCTGCAGTGTAAGTAAACCACAGAGTTGTTGACAAAGGAAAAAATTTTCATCTTAAACTGAGCTTTGCTCGAATTCCCATTTTCCAGCAGAGTGGTGTAAGTGTTTGGGATGGGACAGCTGAAAAGGGAGACAAGAACCACACAGAGCAGCTAAGGCTAGAGAAGGCAGGTTTTGGTTCTAGCACAGAACTTGGGTTTTAAGGCTTTCCTTCCTTTAGGAAATTACAGCCAGACCCTTCATGAAGCAGCTCTGGCAGTGCAGTGGGGATAAGGGGCTGTTTGCTGCTTTATTCTCACAGTGACCTTATGGAACAAGAGATGGGGTAAGTGGTTGGAGAGTTGGAGAAGAAGGGAAAGAATAACAGAAAGAAGGATTTAAACTTGGCTTCACCAAACACAAATTGAAAAAAACCATCAAATTTAAAGGACTAGATTTTGTTACTGAGGAAAATGATTATCCTGTATTTTAAGATGGCAGGTGAGCCTAAGAAATATGACATTGGGGTGAGATCAGGGATCCAGACAGGAACAAACCTCTTTCACCAGAGACTGCTTTAATATCATGTGTGAGGAATTAAATAACCTATTTCTTCTCTGACAAGAGGCACATAAGCTCTTGATAAAGCTGAAACCACAGAGAAACCTCTGAAGCATAGAGAAGGAGATAAAGCACCCACTTCTCAAATGCCCTTTCACTACTGACTACCAAAATCACCTTAAGTGATTTCTTCAGGTTAAAAACACAATTCCCTCACAAAACTGTAAGGAAGACAACCAAACTCAAAAAACTTCCACATGGCCCTTTGAAATCTCTTTTCATATCTACCTTTCTTGTTCAAAGAAGGTGTAATCAGGCCAAATAGAAAGGGGGTGTGCTTTGGTGAGAACAGATGTAAAAGACATTGAAAATATAACACATTATTAGTCAGTACCACTGTAAGACCTAAGGTATGGCTCATGGTATTTACAAATGGCATTGCTGTACCTGTTGCTGATAAAAACAAATGACAGGGGATCCACAGAATTATTGGTTGGAGTGGCCCAGCAGTCAGTGAGAACCACCTTGAGCTTGCTGTCTGCCCTCTGCATCCCCGCTTCAATCAGCACATCCTCACTGGCAGAGACACTGAAATTTCTGGGGACTGGGGAGTTTCCAATAAACAACTGCATTTCTGTTCTGAAGTGTCCAGATCCGTGCAAATCCTCAAAGATGGTGTAAAGTCTGAAAAAAAATCAATTATCATTCTTTAAAGACCACAAAATTGACTGTAAGGCTCTGCAAGTCTTAAATCAGTGCCTGTTTTCCTACATATTTAAACAGTGAAGGGTTATCTGCAGTCCAGGATGGCAGGACTCTGTTCAAAAGAAAAGGTGAAAATGCATTGAGTTTTCAGCTGGGGAGGCAGAGAGCATGGAAACACAAGTGGGAAAATCCAAAGGGTGGTCTCAGCAATTCAAACAGGGCAGAGAGAAACTGCTCTGAGTGGAGCAGAAGGAGAGCAAGACTCTGAAAGCTCAAAACAAGGACAGTAAAAGCTTAGTGCAGAAGAGAAGAACCAAAAAAAAAAAAACAACTATAGAGCTCAAAGGAAAGTGCCCTGACAAAGATTTTGCTGGGGAATAGGAAGGAAAATACAATCTCTGGACAGGGCTAGAAAACAGAAACTGGATTTGGTGCCAATAGTTTAAACATGATGATAGGCAAGAGAGGAGGTGCTCTTGTATGAAGGGAGGACACTCCCCATGAGAGAAAAGCTTCTATTGTCACATCTTCTGTCAGCACAGCCTTGATTCTCTGTGGAGTGTGGCTCTGATTCCATCTTACTTGAAGGTGAGGCCTTACACAACAAAAAAAGTATTTGCATTATGTATCTTCTGGTTTTTCAAGTTGACCAAAGAAGGATTTGGGGGAGATTAAAAAATGCCATTCTCAGAAGGCACACAGCAATCTGCAGGCCCATGTCAAGTGGGAAGATACACTATAGATATGTTCCAAAAGCAGGAAAATGCTGTTATTGCTACAAGAGATTGCCCAGGAAGGCAATGAGGAATTCTGACTCCTGAAGCAGCAGTTCCCAAAGGTTTATTTTCAGCTGTGGTTTAGCCAGGTAAAGGCCAAGCTTGTTGGATCTACTGGTACATTAGTCAGAGTAGGGGAGAAGCACAGCAGGGATCTCCTTGGTGCCTTGGAATGGCTACCTAGAACAGAGGCTAGACAGAGTTAGGGAACAAAGTGAGTATTTATTAAAGGCATTTAACAGATACACCTTGGGCAGTGCAGGAGCCTGGCAGAGGCTACACCCAAGATGGATGATGGTCATGAGTTTTTCAGACAGAAAAATAGTTTGGTCTACTTGTATATCAAAAGTTAATTGTCCAATCACAGCTCCAGGTAATGAAGTCACATTCCCCTGGTTTGCTTCTCCCCCCAGTTCACTTTTGTTTATACTTTTCAGGCCTGAGGTTGTGATGACGACCTTGGTTCTCAATCCTTGGAAGGATCACACTGTGAAGAGATCTTACTAACACCCTCAGTGGAGTTCAGAGTCATACACTAATGCAGTACAGGATCTGAAAAATATAAAAGCTAAAACTTAAGGCATGGTTCTGAGCACAGGATTCCCAGGATGGCAGACTGCTCCCAGTGCTGTCACTGGATACAGCTACAGCCCCTGGGGATTTTCCCAACGCAGCAGCACTCAGCCACACAGCAGGATTTCAAAGCAGAGAGAGGTGCTCCTCACCCATCTGCAGTGTACCCAGAGGAAGTCAAGACATCATTTTGAAACACACAGTGGATGGGACTGGCAATGTTCAAGTGGTGGATGATTCCCTGAGCAGAAACATCATTCCGAAGGGTGGTTTTCACCACGGTAGTAGTCATGTTCTGCAGCACAGAAAGGAGAGAGCACATCAGCATTTCCAGGGTTGTACCAGAGCTTTACAACTTCAGGTGCTTGGGTGTTCCCCGTTCTCCTGACAGCAAAAATCAAACAGATTAAACCTCCAGTATCTTTGTTGCTGAACAAACAACAACAAAGAAAACACACCAGTCTTCCTCCTTTTCCTTTTTGTCATATCATAGAATCATAGAATCATAGAATCATAGAATCATAGAATCATAGAATCATAGAATCATAGAATCATAGAATCACAGAACAGCTTTGGCTGGAAGGGATCTTAAAAATCATCCAGTTCCAAACCCCCTGCCATAGGCAAGGACACCTTCCACTAGACCAGGCTGCCTAGAGACCCTTCCAGCCTGGCCTTGATCACTTGCAGGGATGGGGCAATGATCATTCCTTAGCAATGTTCATTGCTCTAGAAGGGAGTTTCTGTACTTTGGCACAGTCTGAACATAGCCATTGGTTTGGGATCCAAAGAGAGCTATCACTCTTTGTCCCCACTGCTGGTAGCTATTGAAGTATTTGTCAGCATGAGATGATGAAATTGCTTTTAAGAAAAGACAGCTGCAAAGGGGACCCAGCAGAGGCATGGGAAGTGACTCTCACTTGAGTTTTGCTGCCTGACCTCAAAGATTCCCCTTCTCTTTGGTGCTTCTCATCACACACTGACACGTAACTTTCTGTCACAGGAAGGGGATTTCTTTCTCCAAACAGAGTAATAGACTGTACACCTAGCTAAGGATCTGCCACTGCCTCTTCCCTCCTGAAAGAGAAATAAAGTGCTCCAGAGCTTGTTTGCATTCCTTTGATCAGAGGACTTACAGTCTCAACTTGGGTGCCGCAGTCGCTCCAGCCCGCCTGCAGCACAACATGGGTGCCATTGCTGGTGCTCACATTGCAGCCAGGCTCCCCCAGGAACAGGGAACTCTCTGGGATGGACTCCTGCTGCAAGAATCTCTTCTGGATGGCAAGGACGATCCTCTCAATTTCACAAAACACACTCACTGCTTCTTTAATGGAAACCTCTCGGGTGGGTTTGACAAGGGGAGCTGGAGATGCTGGAGGAGAAACATCAGGAGTTGCCATGGGATTGGTGGTGAGAGGAGTCAGCACCGTGCTGGAGAACCTGGTGTCCACCAGAGCTTTGTGCTCAGCAGGAGAGAAGTCCAGTGAAGCAGGGGAGGAAACATGAGCTGAAGTTTGCGAAGATGTCACAGGTAAAATTGTGCTGTGCACATTTTTCTTATCCATCACTGTTGGTTTCTTATCCATCACTGTTGCTTTCTGGCTGAAGGGAAGAGCTGAAGAATGCCAAAAATAAAGGTACTGTTGTAATTTACATGTTCAGATTGGTCTCATCAAGCAAAAGCAAACTCTTAGGAGGAAGCTCACAGTTACTGGCAAGAAACCAGCTTCTTTTGTTCTTTTAACCTGCTCTACTTACTGCCAGAGCTGGGTTTTTTTTAGAAAGGAGCCCGTGAGACACATAAAGTGCCCATCAGTAAAGCTGAAGTGCTTTTATTTCCCAGCAGCTGCAATAATTAGTGTGTTACACATGTACATACAGCTTTTGGAGGATCAGTGCTTGCACAATATCCCCCACTGGAAGTTGCTCAACAAGTGCTTGTATGTTTTTGCCTGGAGCTGCAGAAGACTGCCAAGTTCTGTCTGGGGGCATAAACAGGAGTTTGTTAAAAAAAACAGGCCTCATTTGTGACCAGTTTGTACCCAAAAAATGGGACTTTGAGTGCTTTGGAAAACTCATTTTGGAGGATGTGCAGGACAAACCTCATGTGGCAGCCCCATATTGCATGTTTGTCCTGAGACAGGTGAACAAATGTGCCAGTGGCAATCTCTAATGGTTCCAGGAATTAAAAAGGGAAGAACAGGTTCAGATCAATGTGTGTGTCAAACACCCAACATCCTGCACAGGTCTGGGGTTACACCCTGAGTATTCACCCACCACTGACTGAGAGAGAATCAAGACAATAAATTATATTTGCAGGGAAGCACAAACAATGTGTCTCATCGCACAAAACTTCTCTTAAATAATTTTAGTGGCTTAAATATAAAAATACCCCCTATTTCCCAAGCAATACATAAAATCTGTACACACATATAAATCCTTAGGGAACTGCCCAGCTTCCAGAAATGCCCCAAGTGCAAAAGTCACTGATTTACACAATAGAGGAAGGAACATAAAAGTTGGAGCTCTTCCCGAGCTGGATTTCCCAAAAGCTTATTATCACATTATTATCTTAGTTAAGACTGAACAAAGGTTGGTATCAATTGACAAGTCATTGTGACTTCAGTAAAAAATGTTCCTTATCATTGTGGTTACAAAAGCAAACATGAATTACTGAAGAAGCCTAAGAGAATTTAGGAAATGGAAGACCCATCATACAGCAGCTAACAAATGACCTGAAGAAAGAGAGAAGCCAGATGAAAATGTAATTTATAATGCCAGCATTTCCTCCCTGCTGCCATACAAAGGTCAAGCCACCCATCAAGTACTTTCTCTTACTTTCTCTATTACCTCTTCCATCCCCTCTGCTGTTGCTAATGAAAATCACTAAGAATCTTGACAATCCTGTCTAATTTTTGTGGCAAATATGAGAAAGAGAACTGTTAAAAGAACCTTACAGCATTAAATATTAATATAATACACTCCCACTCCTAAAGTGGTAACTGCCCAAGGGGATGCTTTAACCCCAGGGGCCTCCTCAGTTTTTCTCTCTCCCATTTCACAATTCTGAGGAGATGCTGAGTAAATGACCAGCATGAGTGAAGCAGAAGTGTGACTGGTCCAGGTTGCAGTCTATTTGCTGTCTTAATTTTCACCTGGCCAAAATTTTCATTTTTGAGAGAAGAAAACCTACTTTTACTTCTCTTTCTCTTTCCAAAATCTAAGAACCTGAACAAACCAGACCATAGGTGGGACTCAGAAAGCAGCACCAGCCACCTGCTCTATGGGGACCTGTCCCTGAAACAAATCCTTTGTTTTAGCCCAGGTTTGAGGGGGGCAGGTACTCTACAAAGCACTACCACAAGATAGTTCTGCTCCTACTAATTACCAGGATATGTAACTTTCCAGATTTACAGCATTGAGTCTAACAGGCAAAAAAAAATATAAAAAAAAATTATAGAGCAGAGTCTAAACATGTTTCTGAAGTAATTTTGCATGAGATTCTAATTGACAGCTCATAACAGCATTCTTTGGAGAAATGGATTGTGCCAGGGATACAGTATTTGGTATTTTTTCAGAGGTGGCTTGTGAAACAGAATTCAGCTGCTCTTGGTCAGGAGATTAATGTTTTTTGTTACTTACTTTGATTGCATATAAAAGAAAGGAAGTTGTAGAATCAGCCATCATGCTGGGCTTGGCAAAGTGTGGGTTTTCACCTGAGCTCCAGACCCACAGGTCTGATGAGGTGAGGAAAACAACTATTCCCTGTGAAGAAGAACTCGCATCTCCATTTATTTATTGGGATTTCTATTTAATGGAAAAATTATCAGTGCAAAGCAGAGTGTAATGTGATTTTAAATGATTTTAAACAGTGGTAGTAGTTATGGCTGTGCTCAGGGACACATTTCTACTAGTAGCTTATAAATCCCTCAATCCATGACCTCTAAAATCTCCTTACCTTTTTCTCTGTAAAACTGATTCTAGATATTGTCAAAAAGACCAGCTGGTTTTGTCCTTTTGGATCGGTGGTACCTCACCTGCTATGTCATCTGTGGGTGTTCTCAGAAAAACTTACTGGATGGATAAGCAGGAGCAATATAAGGAGAGAAAAAGGCTTTTCATCCAAGTGTTTTACAGATATTTTCACCTCAGAAGACACAGATTAATAATAACTTTTATCATCTGTCTGGTTCTGAAGAATTACTGGGGCACAAGCTGCTCCTCACCATGTATGGAGAGGTTGTTCCTGTCCATGGTGAAGTAGGAGCTGTGTTCCAAGGCTTCACAAAAAGTGGTGATGACATGGTGGACATCCACTTCTTCTGCAAGCAGCAGATTGAAACTTAGCACTGTGCTCCCATTAGTAACACCCGTTACCAGCACTTTAATCAGACCAGCATCCATCTGCTGGAGCACCTCAAGGGGCAGAGATTTATGCACCTGGAATAAAAACAAAATGTGTGTGAGGATAGGCAGATGGAGCAATTACATTTCAGGCTGTGTACACTGCTCAGAAATGAGTGTTGTGCTTCCTGCTCTGGAGGGCAGCAGCAGAAAATTGACCTTTTGCTTTGTAACATTTTCATTCCAGAGCAGCTGAAGGATATGGTGCATATTTAACCATGAATATTAAACAAGCCAAGCGATTAAGATATCTCATCTGTCATTTGGCACAAGACCTTACCTCTGGCAACAGAAAGGGAGGGAGGAAGCTGCAGGGAAGCTCCCGTGTTCTGCATCTCAAAATGCCTCTGGGGAGAGAAGCAATCCAACAGAAGGAATTGCTGGTGGAAATGAAGGTGCTCCTGACACTCCACACTGCCTCAGAGAGCTATCTCAGCCCAAGAACATTACAACTTGGAGCAGGCAACCTTCAAAATTTGCTTTACAGCTGATTTCTCACCAGAGCCAAGCAAAACCCACCTCTTTCTAAATTCCCAGCCCAAGGTAGTAAGGGGCCAGGTGGGAGCTACACTGTGGCCACCTCCAATTGCTTCTTCCTCTCCCTGATTTCTGCAGGAAATATCTGGAGCAGCAGGGCTGGATTTCAGCCATGAGTTGAAGGCACAGTTTATTGCAGTGTGTAATGCTTGGGAATGCCAGCAGTGATTCCCACCAGGAAGAGCCCAGGGAAGAGGCAAGCGCTGGGAGCCACCGGGAGAAGCAGCCTTGTTTGCCTCACACCCACTCACAGAGCTGGTGCATTTAGTGCTGCATTCTCACAGCTTCTGCACTGCCTTGTGCCCTGCCTGCTGCACATTGCCCAGCCCTGGCTTCCCCTCTGTCTGTTATCCTGCAGCCAGCCCCAGGATTTGCAGGTGCCCTGCAGCTCTCTCCTGAGTCACCAGAGCTGATGTGCTTCTCCTGCTGGGTGCCAGGGCAACGTGGCACAGAGCAAACCCCCTGTGTGCCCCTGGAAACAGCTCCTGTGGGCCTGCAGGTCCCACACAGCAAACCTTGGAGTGCCCCACGGAGCACTCAGGCAGAGCTGGGAGGATGGAGACAGCTGGCTCCCCTCTAAAAACCTGGGCAGAATATAAATTGTCCTTGTCAGATCCCAAATCTCCCATTTCACCAAGACAGGGCCTCTTTGGCTCCTTCTGCTCTCTCTTTCTGCTGTTTCACAAGCAGGTACTGAAAAGCTGGAGGTCAGACCTAAGTTTTAAGCTTTCATAATTTTGTCTAAACTTCTCAACATTAAACACAGACACCTGTGACATCCTCTTAGCCCACCCTGTTCTCATCCTCTTTCCCTATCTGCTAATTTTATTATTTTACTTCTTCTTTTTCACATAATCCCAGAATCACTGAGGTTGGAAGAGATCTCCAAGACCATCAAGTCCAACCTGTGACCAATCCCCACTTTGTCCCCAGCTCAGAGCACAGAGTTACACATCCAGCCCTTCCTTGGGCACCTCCAGGGATGGGCACTGCAAAGCTCCCTGGGCAGCCCCTGCAAAGGCCTGAGCATCCTTTCTGTGCAGAAATTCCTCCTGGTGTCCAACCTGAGACTCTCCTGGCATAGCTTGAGGAATTTCCTCTTGTCTTGTCCCTTGTTCCCTGTGAGCAGAGCCTGACCCCCACCTGGCTACAGTGTTTGTTTGTTTGTTCCTGTTTTGTTTCTGTAATTATTCCAATTTTCCTCCCAAAGCAGGACCCAGAGCTTGAATAATGTCAGGGCACATTCACAGTATTTGTATTTAGCCACTAGGTGACACTACAAAACCCTTTATCCGAGAGATTCCAGGATTTCCCAACAGGTGCCACACCCTGGGTTATCAAAATAACGCTTGATGAAACAAGGCTAGGAAAAAAAAAGGGGAGGGGGCGAGGGGAACGGAATTTTTTTGAAGGAAATATTCAATATATAATACTCTTGAATATGGGGAGTTCTTACAAGAGAAATTATTTTCAGGTCTGTCATTGTATCTGCAATTTCTGTAGCACACAAAGGAAACCTAAGCAGGGAATGCACTGACAGTCTGGAAACTGGGAATAAGTAAGGAAAAGGTACAGCAATTTGAACAGAATATTGTTTGAAGACTGACTCAGAGAGAGAAAAAACCAAAATCTTTCCCCACTGTCTGTGGTTTGGCTGCACCTTCAGGGAGAAGGTACCGGAGCATAGATGTGCCCAGCCACCAGCACCAGCAGCTTCCAGGATGTGAAGGTGGATAAACTCAACAAAAGGGTGAAATGACACTGGAATAGTGGAAATTCCTTAATCCCTCTTCCTACACTCATTCCACATCCATATAACTCCAACTACAATCATTTAGGTGCAATCAGCTACACACACAGGCTGTGTGCCTTCCAAATGAGGCGGTCACCTTCATAAGGCATTAGCATTTAATACTTTCACACCTTTTGTCACTCAGCTAAGTCTAAGACACCCAAATTCAAAACAAGCTTTCTGCTTGGGAATTTACTGCACCTCAGTGAATGTATTTTCAACTCAAACCTTTTGCTTTCCCAACTGATTTTCTTGAGGACAAGCCATGATATCTTTCTTGGGGTGTTGTAAAGCACAAGCTGAACAAACCCCAAGATTTAAATACTTTTTTAACTTTAGCTATGTTGTTTTTAAGTTGCATTACAAGAAAGGTGGTGGAAGTGGCCTGGACAATGACAGTGCAGGTTGTCACATCAGGTTTTTCCCTCCTTTTCATTATTTAAAGGATGATATTTCCATTTGCTGTGCTGCCAATTTAACCACATGGCATTTAAGTGCTGGGCCTAAAGAACATTATACACATTAGGTTTTATAAATCCTCTGAATTGTAGATTGTGACTCCAAAGAGGTTTAAAAAAATCTCTGGCAAACTGTATTTAACTGGAACCTGAGAGTGCTTTTAAAGCTCATAAAACTTCCCTCATTTACTTTAAAATAACCATTTCTGGTCCTCATAACCTGAAAGGAAAATATACAGATCTTTCTGGTCTCCTAAATTTTCTTTGGCATCTAGAAATACAGTATTTGTAATATTATTTAGAGCAGTTATGCAATTATACCCATTTACAGTGGCTCAGAGGTGGAAGGAATCAGCACTAACTCATCTTTCCACCTGATCCACAAAACCAGAGTGATGGGAAAAGGAATTAGCTCCTTAAAATCACAAGTGATCATTTTCTGCCCGGAAATTTGAGACCCGGGTAAAACTGACACAAAACTTCATTTTGTTCCTTTATGCAACCATTTTACAATTTTTCTTAAATATATTTGTACCCATGATTTTCTGGACTAAGCTGACTGAATGAAGAAACTACTTTAATTTCAGTCCATTTCCATACTGTGCTGTTCTGAAATAGCCTCGGGCAGAGCGTGGTGCTGAATGAGAGGGAGGTCAGTGGGGAATTGTTCCCTTTTCACTTTGCTAATCACATCACTCTCGTTTTGTCACAGCTTTTCTGATGTGACAGCTTGGGGCCAAAACAGCTCCAGGAAAGCTGTGCTCTGCTAGCAAACCCAGGAAGGTGCAAACCCTTGTGAGCAGTGGGAAACTGATTTGATGTCCAAGAAGGATGAATGGATCACCCTCTCCCCTCCCTGCAGCTGTGTGTGAGCCCAGGCTGGCCTGGCCTGTGCCCGGGTGACAGCTGTGTTCCCGTGGCACCTCTGTCCCCTGGAAGTCTTGGGAGGCCTCGGCAGGATTTGAAAATCCATCAAATTGCCAGTGATGGATTTATCACCACATTTATCAAGGCCTCTGGAGACACGGTGGAGGGGAGATCAGGCAGGCAAGAAAACAGCCCAGTGTAACCAGTGGTTTTCCAGGCATGGGTGTGTTTGAGGGAGCATCAGAAGGAACAAACTTCTGACACATTCACTGCAATATTTGATACTGTCAAAGGCAATACCTGAGAATCCTGAGAAGGTTAAAGGCACAGCAGATATCATGTTGTGCTTTGATATCCTGCACTCTAATTAGAAGTGAGGGCAGAGGTGACTTTTCAAGAAACCACTCCCTTTCCAGATATGGGGCTACAAAATCCAGAGTGATTACAAGAACTGTCATCCTTGAGCTACTGCTGCAAAGGACAATAACAATCATACAGCTAATTAGGATAGGGCTGTTCAGGGCAAGGGTGTCAGAACACTGCATTAGTTCCATTAACTTTCCACCACACCCCTGGGGGAGATCAATAATTCAGTATAACCAGGTATGAGAAGGAGAGGACATGGAGGTACCAGAGAACCCCAAAATCCTGATCTCCCTCTAAAACACAGCTGCACACTTACCCTGCAGCCTCAGGCAGTCAGGGGGAGCCAAACCTTACAAATGTGTCATGGGACACACATGAGTTATTCAGGCTTTGGGGCATAAAGACCATACACAGGGTTTTATTGAGACAGGTAACAAGCCACATCCTTCTTCAACACTTACTTCATCAACAAAGAGCTGTGCAAACGTTTGATATTCCTCACTGCTTGTATTGCTAAAGCCTGGAGAGTATTCCATGTTTGTTATCCAAACTGTGCCACTAAGTTTCTGGAAGGCTGCAAGGTAAGAAAAAAGACAATTTCTATTTGTTTTATGGACTGCACTCCATGGACAGATGCGTCAGTGTCCAGCATTCCTGGCCACGTGCATCAACTCATAGCAGCAGAGGGCCAGCCCTCTGAAACGTAACCCAAACCCCAAAAGTCTAAAAATAAGTCATCCAGCATCTTAGTCTGCCCTGTGTGAGCCCCAGATGATTCTCAAGAAAGGCACTGACCTCCTGTAGGTCCCATATCTGCCAGCTCTGCCTTGGGGATGTGGGAATGTTGCTCTGTTCAGGCACTGGAATTGCTCTCCCAGACTCAGCTGGTTGTCCCACCAGTCCCTCCAGAGGAAAACCAAATCCTCCCTGCAGCCTCAGAGGAAGGCTGGGCAGCTGCCTGAGCTTAGACATCTACACTTTGGACAGCTGGGGTGGGATGAGGTGAACCCCAACAGAGTGCACACATCCCCCCTAGTTCACATCTGCTGAATGACATGAAGGCAGACCCAAACATTTTAGTTTATTTCCTGATTTCTCCGTTTTTCCCAGCATCTCTGGGTTTGGCATTGTTACTACAGACACTGAAGTGATCAGAGATCAGACAAAGGGATTCTCAAGGCATTGTTTGTGCCCCTGGCATCCGTTTAGCAATGACTGCAATCATCCAATGTTGTGACCATTGCCAGCAAATTGCCTTCACTCTGCCCCCAGCTCCCAACAAATCATCACTCCCGGCACAGCAAAACCTAATGTTTCAATGGTTTATATAAATACAGGATAGACTTCACCAAGAACTTCAAGAATTTTATCACCTGGGACAGGATTCAATTTAAAATTCTAAATCAAGTTACCAGTCTTAATTTTCTGGTGTAGCAATCTACTCTCCTCCCTGCACACACCACCTCCACAGGATATCAGGCACCAGGTTCCAGCTCTGAGACTCTCAGACTCCTATATTCCATTTTAATCTGCCATATTAGCTGCTTTCTTTGAAACAGAAGGAATTATAAAGCCCTGCATAAACTCTGTGGACCACTTACATCCAGGTTCTACTCACATTGGGAAAATAATCACTTGAACTAGGACAGGTACTGGAGGAAAAGAAATATAAATCAGGTCAAGCTTTACAGGGGAGGGGAGAAATGCCTGCTTGAAGCAGGCCACTGGAGGAGGGTTCCTTTATCCCAGCGTCATTCTGATCCCAAAGGAATCCTCACCACCGACAGTCAGATCAAAGGATTTGGGCTTGCATGGCTTTTTTGCCATGGCATGTGAGCACAGCTATTTAGGGGATAAAACACATTCAGTTGTCTCAGAGAGGGGAAAATGTTCTGAACAATTCTCAAATAATAATAATAAAATACCCCCTGGTATTTAAAAGACTAAGAAGAGTTGGCTGAGGTTGAGCCTCCAGGTCAGAGATGAGGCCACAAGGAGGAGCTGCATATGAAATTTCACCAAACATGGGATTTTGCCCTCTGAATTTCTTGCCCTGGGCTAATGAGATGCCAATCTGGTGGTTCTTGCTTTTATTCCTTAGGCATAAGCCCTTCACAAGCTTCTTTCCCTGCAAAAGCACTTGGCTGAATATTTAATTTATCTGGAATATAAACCAAGTTTTTATAAACTGAACTTTTTTTTTGCTTATGATTCTTCAGGGGTTTTTTTTCCAGCTGGGAACAGCCTTTATGGGACTTTTTGTCAGTTAAAATTAGCTATTTTTATACTTTAAAAATAATCTTTGTTTTCATTTAAAAAAAAAAACAAACCAAACATATTTTTCAAGAGGAGAGAAGACAGCAGCTGAACAGGGCATTGGCATAGCTGCCCAAGGCAGGGCAGGATGGCAGGAGGGGACACATGGTGAGCAGCCCTGGGGGGACAAGAGAGGCTGGAGAAGCAGCAGAACTGGCCTTACATGGCTGAAAAAGGCATTTTCCAGGGAGAAAGGAGTGAGGAAGCACCAGAAGTGGGGTTGGATGAGTGGAGACCACCAGGAATGCGAGATCACAGGGGAGGGGGAGATAAAAGAGCAGAGGGAAGTGTGGCTTGGGATCAGACAGATGTGGAGGGCACGAGAGACAGAATAAAAACAAGTAGAATCAAAACTGAAACAGCCAAATAGTGACACACTACAAAAAAAAAAATACCATTTAGTATTGGGCAGAGACAGCAGCATTCCTATCCCAAACAAAACTGTCATTTTAAGACCTGACTCTCTAAAACATGATTCAGCTCCAATCAACAGAAAAATCCCCTAATTAGCTGCAACACATCTGCCCAAACCCAAACAGATGAAACCTTTGCCAGTCTTGTTGCTCTCAATTACAGCTCTTGAGGCAGTGTCTCTCAGGTTTCCAGGCAGCTCCTGCCTCACAGGGGATTTGTGGAGGACTCTGACTAAACATCCTCTGCTGAGAGGAAGGGGAAGGCAGGTCCTTTTCCTCCCCAGCTCCCTAAATTAACTCCATAGCCAGCTGCTGCTGCTGTGTCCTGGTGCCAGAGGCTGCAGGAAAAACAGGGATATGTGGCAAAAGGACAAGCAGCAAATATTGCCATGAGCCACACTCAGTGCACTCTTTTATGTGCTTCCTCCTCTTGGAGCTGAAGAAATGTAACATCAATAAAAGCAACTGCTGAATTGCCAGGAAGAGGAATCGCTTTCACAAGCTGATTTAGCGAAAGAGAAAGTGCCAATTCCTGCAGAAAATATTATTGATATAGAAAAAAAAAATTTGCAGGCACCAAAAAAATAATTTTGACGTTGAAAAACCAGCTCTAGATGCCTTTTTGTGAACTCTGAGCGAGGCTTTGCATCTCCCCCCGGTGAATTCCCACACGTGCAGATCCCGTGGGATGCGTACTCACTGCGGAACGGGCTGGGGGCTGGAGAGGAGCCTGGCAAAGCTGGTGACCCCAAGGCTGCCGTGGGTCCCTCTGACCGAGAGCTGTTCTCCCTGCCCTGCTCTCCATCTGCTCGGAGGGTGGCGATGGCAGCGCTGCCTGTGGCCAGCAGGACGGTGCCAGGGCCACCTCGGGGCACGGCAGCAGCCGTGCGAGCGCTGCTGGCACCTGAGGCTGTTCGGTTTGGGAGCCCCCAAACTGCAGCGAGCTGCTCTGGCCCCGCCGTGCCCCTGGGGCTGTTTGGTACAGCAGCCGTGGCAGCGGAGCTTTGCCGTGACCGACTTGTGGCTCCTGTGCCCACGGGCAGGGCCCTGCTGGCCGTGGGGCTGCTGCCCCCGCTGAAACCCATCTGTGGGGCCAGGCCTTTTTGCCAAGGGGTTGGAGGAGCACTGGTGGGACCTTGGGACGCTCGTTTGTCACCCAGGGCCAGCGCGGCAGGGAGAAGCTTGGCGGTGCTTGACACAGAGCCTGCAGCCGCCATTGTCTCGGTGGTGGCAGCGGGAGCAGGGCCTGCAGGGCTTCCTTCTTCGAGGGCAAAGTCCCTGCTGTTTCTTGTTTCAGAAGCCATGGTTTCAGTGAGAGGATCCACAATCTCACCTGCAACACAGTAAACACGTCCTGAAATGGGGCCTGAAACTGGATGAGGAGGAACCAGGGCCTGGCCTGAAAATGGCAGCGAGGCCTGGCCTGAAAATGGCACCGAGGCCACTCAACCGCCCATGGCAGCATTATAGAAACAGGTCCTGGATTTTCACAAACACTTTGTAGAACATGTGATTTTTCTGGGGTTGAATCTGGTTTGTGCCAGAAGCAGATTTCATTCTTGGGTCTCCTGTTCTGGTTGGCAAGGCTATGGATCAACTCAATGGGAGGAAACTAGCCACAGACATAGCAAAAGAGGGAAAAGTACTCCTTGCAGTTATCAAGGAGGATCTCAGAGAGATTTCATCTGAATCTATTTATTTATTTATTTATTATATATATATATAAAAATAGATATATATATATATGTGTATATTTAGAGACAGGTCATATATACCCCTCCAGTCACAGACTGCAAAGGTGCAATTATATGAACAGGTGCTATAAAAGCAGATGTAAAACCCCACGACTTATTCCAATGTTTCATGGCAAAAAAAAAAAAACCCTAGTTGCCAGCCTTTTTCTCACCCTCACAGTTTCTTCCAGGTCGGGATGGATTGGTATCCACGGTTGTCTTGCACTTGCACATGTAGGAGCCCATCAAATTGATACACTCTGCAAACACAGAGCAGTCATTCTCAGCTTGGGAAGCACATTCATCCCAGTCTGTGGGACCAAAACAAGAACAAGGGTCAGAGAGCCTCCCTGCTGGCTGCATTTAGCTAGAAATAATCATTAAGTAGTCATTTTTTAATTTACTTATGTGGTCTTCCTTTTTATCATTTACCATCAGCCAAGCTCTGAGTGATGCAGAATGCCATCTCTTTTGTTATTCTCTCGTTCTTGTACTCTGAAAAGTATTCTCTCTGAGTAAAGGCTTTTTAAATAACTGTTTTTAGAGGTAAACACATTTAAAGTGAAAAAATGCTGTAGGTTTGTACTACAGTTATATCAAAATCACTCACTATACCAAGTTCTGTGTACAGCACTTCCAGATATATCAGGTAATTAATAGATGGTACCACTAGCTACCAGTAGATACAACATTAAATAGAGACTTAAACCAAATAATCTTCTGCTTCAAATAAAAAGTAAATGCTAGTAGCTCCCACGGGAAGCACTATTCTGTTCTTAACAGAGGAAGTGCTAAAGGCAAAATCTCTTTTTGTACAATTTTTCTTCTCAAAAGTAATACTGTAAAACTGTGACCCTCTTTCTGGTAGTGTCAGAAAAGACATCCTGATTCATCAATGCATGAAGATGCTCTGAGGGTGTTCCTTATGTCTGATTTCAGCTGCTCTGAATGAGTTAGAGATGCCTTTTCATGCAGTTACAGACCTATGTTACTGCTGAGTCTCTTCTCTTTGGAGGAATTTATATCTGGAGTCTTGTGCTGCCGTTCATACCCTGTTCCAGCAAATCTACAAGGGCTGAGTTAGTCCTTTGGACAGGAATAATTCCAGTGAATCCCAGGTGAGGCTTCTCTGTGTGACTGCCTCTCTGCTCACCTTCACTGCCTCAGGGGCCTGAGAGAGGGAGAGCAGCAAATGAGGCTAAAAACTGGGTCTTGGGACAAATAGATCAGAGGGTAGAAAATTGTTTTGAATAACAAATTAACATAAGTGCTTGTTCTGCAAACCTGCAGATTAATGATGGTGATTATTTCTCTGAAGCAAAGGAATGTCCCATTCCGTGTGCATGCACATACATGCACTCGTCTTTCTGCTTGCTTTTCCTTCCTTCTAGCTAAAATTTCAATTCTTTCTATTTTAATAATTCAATTATTTTTACTTGTCATTTTGGATAATTGCTGTGTCCATGATAGTTTCCATTAGACAATTTCATGTTCCTGTGGCCAGCCTATTATGTTCCAGCCTAAGCCACTTAGAGGGAGTGCAGAAGTGTGCAGGATTGACTGAACACCAGAGATGAAATCCTGTTAATTCCTAACTGTGCTATGAAATAATTGTGACCCTTGGTGGCTTCCAACACCATCGAGAAATGCTAATTGCTAAATCACTTACATTCACTGCCTTCATTGTCTCTGAGGGTTTCCTTTCCCCTCACTTTGCACGGCTTTTTAAGCAAATTCCTTCACCTCTGATGGCCACATTCAATCATGCATCGGGTCAAAACACTGGCACTGACTGCTGCATCACTTGTGCACATCCACACACACACACAGCACTTTTTTCCTCTCTAAACCATCACTTCTCAGCCAAGGTCTGCTCTGAGCTCTTTCTGTACTCCTGGCACCTCTCTGGCCCTTCACATTTGGCACTTCCCTCCACACACCTCAACCAACTGTCCCAGTCCAAAAATGATTAAAAAGCCACCTTTGTGTTCACTCTGATTACCTATTATACACCTGTAAGGGGTACATGCAAAGGGTAAAAAATCTGTGAAACTCCTTGCCAAATGATGTTGCAGATGATAAAGATCTACCTGATTTGATGGGGGATAAATAAACCCTAAGAAACCCCTCTGGATTCAGGGATTCCTGGAGCTGAAAACAGTTGTTGGCTAGGAGATTATTAGTGGGAGGTGATGCCTCTCCAGGAATTGGCTCCTGGCTGCTACTGAGACAGTGACATTGTGCTAGAAGGATCTCGTGCCTGATTCAGCACACATCCCTTTCTCTTCTCTTACCATGCCCCACAAACAGATTTTATTGTCTCTATTCATCATGGCGATAAACTTAATAATTTATGGATCTTCGAAGAGATCTGGTCCAGTCCCTTCAGTTGTGCTGTCCCTTCTGACTTCTCATCCCTGCTTTTCACAGTTGAATGGACTTTCACTAAACCAAGCACAAAGCCTGGTGGTGGTCAGGCTGCAGGGAGGATCCAGGGGACAGGATCTGGGTGGGTTTATTGCAAAGGTCATGTCCTGGGGCTCTCCAGGGTCAGGAAGCACAACACCCCATTATATAAATCCTTTCTTCTTGTGTTTCACTCCTTATTTTCCACTTAGGAAACTCAGGTTGAAGAAACTCTTCTTTGGGTAAAGCTGAGAAATAAACCCCTTTTCTCAGCCCCTAAGGAGGAGTGGAGGTGTTGGCTGTGCCCCTGGATGAGTGTGGTGCTACTGGAAGCCACCTGGTTTTGTGCAGCTAAAGTGACTATCCAGAGCTATCACCTTCTTCTTCCTCAGCCTTTTGGTCCCAGGATCAATAACATTTCAAAGTATTTTGGCACACATCAGTCTCAGCTGCTACTGTGATATTTGTAGGCTTTGAGTGCAATTTGTCTCCTGTCTTTTTCCTGTCCTGTTCTCCTTAACCTCCATATGTTCCACAGCTGCAAAGGGAGTTTTTCCTGCTCAGAAAGGCTCAATACAACAAGAGAGAAGAATAACCCATTCTGTTGGCTTTGGCAACTTTTTGAACTCTGCTGTCTCTGCCAGCTGGGAAACCTGAGGACAGAACTCAGTCCTTTGAAGTTAAAAGTGGTGATTACTGAAGATTAAACAAAGGCCTGGTTTAACATAAATTCCATGCACGTTTCTTCCAGTTTCTTCCATCCTATTCACAACAAGGACATTTGGGAATTCCTCTGGCTGGGCTTCTAGAGTGAAGATGTTAGATTTCTTAAACCTTGTCCCAAATACATTCCCCCAGTCTTGGAGCACAAAACTGCCTAGAGGGCTTGTGTATCTAAAGCATACAGATTCCACAGTAATCCTGTCTGCCATTCAGCTGGAGAAAGATATGGCAAACTTCCAGTTGGGGACAGAGAGGAGAGAGAGGAAAATGAACAGGGAAACCAAGGGCTCCACTTGGGTTAAACACAGTGAGGAGAAGCAGTGCCTGCAAGTACCTGGGGACAGCCAGCACTCCTTTGTCTGACACTTCTGGGCTTATGAATAAAACCCCTGAAAGAATTCTCACATGATGGTTTTCTCTTCAGCAAACCACATCCTTTGTTTTTCTATTTTGTGAATAATATTGGTGATTCTGCACGTGATCAAAACACAAATGCTGCTCTCTTCTTTGAAAAATTACCTTTTACTGCAGTGTTTTGCTGATCCACCACAAGCACGGAGCCATTGTGCAGGTAGGAAAGCACTGGGGCAAATGTGGAGGCGTCCACTGGAAACTCGGGATCCTGCACGGTGATTCTGAGCCTCACAATGATGCTTCCTGCTGCCAGGGATACAATTTGCACTTTCAGCTTCCCAGGTTTGTACAAGGCAGAAATGTTGGGTGGAAATGAATTTTCAAGCTGAGCAATGGGAGAGAAGCACTGACAATTAGGGAGCCAACAGGTACCTCTTTAAATATTTATATAAGCACAAGATAGAAGATGCTGTAAAAAGAAAAGTTCCAAAGTATTTCATAAATCTTATTTTTCAGTAATTATTTTGGCACAAAGTAATGTGAGTGTCCTTGCAACCTTGCTGAGAAGGACTTGGGGGTGCTGGTGGATGAGAGGCTGGACATGCCCTGGCTGAGTGCACTGGGACCCAGAAACCCTCTGTGTGCTGGGCTTCACCAAAATCAGTGTGGGCAGCAGAAGAGGGGGGAATTCTGCCCCTTCAGGTGAGACCCCACCTGCAGCACTTCCCCAGCCCTGGGGCCCAGCACAGGGAGCACCTGGAGCTGCTGGAGAGAGCCCAGAGGAGGCTCCAGGATCAGAGCAGCTCTGCTCTTAGGAAAGGCTGAGAGAATTGGGATTGTTCAGCCTGGAAAGCAGAAGGCTCTGGGGAGACTTAATTGTGACCTTCCAGTACCTGAAGGGAACTGACTGGAAAGATGAGGCAAGAGTATTTACAAGGGCCTGGAGTGACAGGACAAGGGGGAATGGCTTCAGACTGATAAAGTTAGATTCAATATTAGGGAAAACTTCTTCATTGTGAGGGTGGTGAAGCCCTGGCACAGGCTGCCCAGAAAAGCTGTGGATGTCCCATCCCTGGAAGTACCCAAGGCAAGGTTGGACAAGGCTCTGAGCAATTTGGTCTGGTGGAAGGTGTTGCCCATGGCAGGGGTTTGGAACTGGATGATCTTCAAGGCCTCTTCCAACCCAAACAATTCTGGGATTATATAATTCTATGATACCTTTGTAAACTGAATCCATCTGACCATTGGTCTTACAAATCAAGTTCTAAATTTTGGCTCAAGGGAGCAGAATTCCCCCTGGCCCTGGCTGAATTGTCCAGGTAAGTGCATGCAGCAGAGCATTGATGTTATCTGTGTATGTCACACATGTATTTTATTTCATTTACATGTGTGGGCATGGCTTTAGTTCCCAAGTTCAGCCTGCAGCCGAGTCCAATAACAAAGAAACCTCAGGATGAGAGACAAGAAAAAATGGGGGAGGATAACTTCAAAAAACATGTTTGAGACAGCTCAGCTTCAAGGCAATATCACAATTACATCATGGTTAATTACCAAACCAGTGAGCAGTCACTTCAGCTGAACTAATGGCATTACTCTGACCATTGAAGCTGGCACAGTGCTGTCAGTATTTGAGCTGTGCAGGAGCTGGCAGTTTTACCTTACATGTCTAAAAGGCAGCTCTTGCTTGAGCCTTTTGTTCCTGCATACACCTCAGAGCGTGCCTTTGAGCACGAACTGCAGAGTCATAAATGAGCATAGCTTTGTTCCCATTCAGTCAGAGCTTGCTCAGAAAGATTCCTACAAACAAGCCGTTTAGCTGGTCTGAGCTCACATCAGGTTAGAGAGGCAAGAAAATGAGAAGAATCCCTCTCAGGGGGATGTTGTGCTCACAAACACCCAAGGAGGCAGAAGCAACACAGATGGGCAATGCTCCTTTTTCTTCCCACCCCAATGAAGTCAATCAGCTCTGCATTAATCACAGAGAAGACTCATTCACCAGAATCTTCCTGCACAACAAAAGTGAACAGTTTGTAACTGTGGGAAATAAAACCATGTGAGGAGGTTCAACTAGCAATTTCTGTTGGGCAAATGCCTCTTCTCTGCTGCCCTTGAACTTACAGCTCCATTATTGTTTTGGGTTTTTCTCTTGCATTTAAATTCACACATGATTATGAGTCAACTTTTGTTTTGGGGAAGCTTTGTTTTGGATGGAGATCCCAATTCCTCTGTAGAGGCCCTGTTCTGTGCAGCAAAACTGTAGGAGATTGCTCCATATGAAACCTCCTCGTTTTTTGGGAAGCTGAGAGCTGGCACCAGACTTGATGACTCAAGTTTTGTTTCTGGCTGCTTGCACCTGCCTGTGGACAGTGACCACATGTGTGCAGGCAAGGAATGAGGCTGGAGAAGAAAGCTTGATCCAGATACCTCTCCTGAAAGAAGAGCTTTGAGAGGAGAAAGACATTTATTAAGCAGGCTGTGCTGAAATGAATGCCAGGAATGCCATTTCAATAATCCGTTAAAAGGCTCAAGTTAATTTACTTTGAGTTTATTGCCAAATTAAAGATCCAAGGAGAGGAGCCCCTGTTGCATGCCTGCATTTCTAATTCCTTCACTCTTCTGTAGGGGAAAATTCTCACTGGCTTCATTGCTAACAAGGCCAAGGGCTTGATCTGTCTAGTCAGTTGAATTTTGTTGTAATTATAAAGAAAGGTCACAGGAAATAGTATACTAATTTTGAAGGAATACTTCATCCAGGCATAAAATTCTCTATTAGATTAAATAAGTTTTACATTGAAAAAAAATTATATATATTACCCAGAGATATAGTCAGTTTACCTCTGTAAGCAACAGTCTTGAAAATTCCTCATACGCTGAGCTGCTGGAATTATGGAAATCATCAGTGAAGTTGTAGTTGAGAATCCTCATAGTAACATCAAATATCTTGGCCTCTGTAGGACACAACATTAAAACACACCGACAGAGTAGGAAAGGATTCAGCTAAAATTGATGTACCTGGACCAAAATCTCAGCTGATGGAAGAAAGGAGGACAAGATTGAGAGAGTTTGGTATGAAATCAAAAACATAAAGCCAATAGGCTCCTGTAAGCTTTTGATACATTGAGAAGATGCACTTCTATCGGGTCTAAAGAGATATTTTGGTGCCTAATTGCAACTGCATGAGAACAGGGTGTACATATACTTTATGTGTGGGTTTACACATACCTGGGCCTGGCCCTACATAACTCCTGCCTTGAAGTTACACCCAGGGTAGAATTGCCCATGGGCTCATCACTGGCCCACCAGTCACAGTTTTTATTTATTTATTTTCCTGATCTTGATAGTGGGGATAGTAAATATATTCTTAAACTGAAAATACAACAAAAAACTGTGCATGCCTCTTGTGTGTGAGCCCTGACAGATACTGTACAAAGCACAGGAGCCAAAACCAAGAGCCAAGGAATCTCTAACTGCTTTGTCCTGTATAAACACTCCATGGCTGTTACTCCTTGGACTGATCCTTGGAAAACTTTTCTTTTTCTCAAGGGCTCCAGCTCCGTACTCTGAAGTTCAGCCCTCCCTTTTCATAACCACTAGACCTCCTACTTTCCCTCCACAAAGAGAGTAATTTCCTTCTGACCCAAACTGGAGTCATCCCTCATCTCATCAAAGGGAAGGCTCTTAGGGATAAACATGAACAGCAGCATTCCCTCAGTGGTCAATAAAAATAGTTCACTGCCTGCTCTTTGAAAAAAGGAGAAGAGATTTGTTTCCTTGTTTGTATGGAGGCTTAGGAAATAATTTAAGACTAGAGAAGAAGCAAAATTATGTTTGATCAACACACTAGGGCCTCAGGAAGCTCCCACCACCAGTTAATTGAACAGAACTGGGCAGGTAGTCTGCAGCTTTCTTACTCAATCCATGTAATTCTCTTTAATCCTTTATTCAGCAGAACCTGCCCTTCCTCTGGGCACTCTTGTTAGCTCGGCTGAGCCCTTGACAAACCAGTTGCCTGGATTTCCCACTGGCCAAAGACATCAACCAGGAAAAAATGAGGCTTCTGGGAGATGGGTGGCAGCAGAAAGGAGTGCCAGGCACCAAAGAAATATTTTTTTAAAAAAATAATTATAGCTTAGCCTGGTATCTGTAATAGTCTGATCAGCTCCAGCACTCCTTTATCAACTAAGGATAAAGTTCTGCTGTTTGATATTCTGGGTTGGATAAATGCTGGAGTAGGTGAGATAAAAAGTGCTGAAGAAGGTGGGAAATGTTGTTCAGTGTGGACCAAAGGATCATTGCTGAACTGCAAGTGAGTGGGGATGGAAGGAGGAGAAGGGAGAAGATAGAGATATACTATATTATATATATGTATTTTAAAGTGTTTCTTTACCTGTTTTAACATTTTGATGGGAGATAATGATTTTCCCACAAGTTTCATAGCTGATCTCTACTGAATACATCACACCTGCTTCCAGGTGAGACACATCCATGTGCATTTCCTCTGTCTGCAGGTTTTGCACAGTTTCATTGCCCTTGGACACCCGGACTTGGAAAGTGTGGTTCAGAGTGGGAATGACAAGCCAGGACATTTCAAAGCTGTTGCTGGTAACGCTGAGGATTCGATGGTTTGTAACTGCAGAGGGATCTGTTGCAGTCCCAGGAAGAGTGGACATGGAAAAAGCAACATTTAACTTTTAAAGCCTTGTGCTGTTCTAAATCCACTACAGACAAGCACTTTGATAGTCAATAGGGTAGGGTTCTCTTTTTGTCAGGACAGAATCTGCCCCTCTCACACTAGCAGATCCCCTCATCTATGAACCATCCCACTGGGGTGACTGGTTTAGTGTTTAACTTTTTTATTTCCCTTTACTATATGCATTTCTGTTGAATAATAGAATTACAGAATAGTTTGGGCTGGAAAGAACCTTAAAGATCATCCAGTTCCACCCCCTGCCATGGGCAGGGACACCTTCCACTGGAGCAGGCTGCTCAGAGCCACGTCCCACCTGGCCTTGGACACTTCCAGGGATGAGGCAGCCACAATTCCTCTGGAAAACCTAATCTCCTCCAAATCTCCACTCACATAAATAATCAGCCAGTGAGCTACAGGAACAAGCAACAGGACTAAGTTTGGAACAGTCACTCTGGGCACTCTACATGTGTTGACACCTGCTTCACCTCCTGTCATTTTAATCATCAAAATGTACCCATTCAGGCAAAGGTTGCCTGGATTTATCCTGGAACCCCCTCCAGCCCCCAGCTAACAGGCTGGGGGAGAGTGGTGTGCAGCACTTCACCTGTTATTCCACTCTAGTCCAGCGCAATCTTTGTCATGTCAATGGGAAAAGACAGGGCCCTTCAGAGATGATTCCTCTCCCGGGAGGAGGAGTTGTTAAATTGGGTAGGGTGAGTTGCCCTGCAGCAGAGCCAGTCTGTCTGGCTGGAGACAGAGCCCAGACAAGACACCTCTGCTGGGGAGAGCTGGGGCCAGGTGAGGTGAGCATCACACCCCCTGCTAACCCAGAGACCATGGCATGCTGCTGCCACAGCTTCAAATTTTTCATGCTAATGGGTAGACTAAGGAAAAAAGATTGCCTTCATAAACTGCTTCAATAGAACACAATTGTTTCCAGCACTCTGGGCCAGGTGGCTGCCAAACACCCCAAAAGCCTTTCTCCCCTGCAATAGAGGGGCCTTAGTTTAATTCCTCTGGCTTCAGCTTCCTTCAGAAGTTGTGGGTGAAAAACAAGAATATCCAGCCTGGCTCTCTGAACTCCTAAAGAACAACTTAAATCTATTTCCTCCCACAGAAGAACAGGGTGTTGTTAAAAGGATTGTAATAACTCCTGCCTGAAAGGGCTGCATCGCCCATGTAAACACAAATCTACTGTGGTTTGTTCCCATCACAAATCAAGAAAACATTTATTAAAATCCAAGGTTACTTACAGCACCCAACATCTGTAGATTGGTTGGTTATGGACAAGAGATTTGCTTTCCTTGTAGAGGGATAACTAGTGGCAGTGTTAACAGCATTTACTGAAATTGGAGTAGATGCTGCAATGCCTAGGGGAAGATCATATTGTCAAAGAGTTAAGAGTATTGCTAAGAAAGCAAATCCAAAATAATACTATTCATGTTTTCCACATTAAAAGCAGCAATAGAAGTAATATAAATAGAAAATAAAAGTATTATCATATCACAAAAGCATAAAGTAATACATTATCGTAATTTTTGAGATTAAGGGATTGTAGAATTGTTTTCTAACTAAAGCATCAAATGTGCAAGCAGTTATTCATCTCATTATCTTAAAGCCTATTAGCAGGCCTGTTGATGTCTGTGGGCTGTAAGTATCTTTTGCTGAACTGGTACCACAAGGAATTATTTCAGCCAGTGCCAAACTGCTTGCAGCAGAGGGCTCAGCAGCTCAGGGTGGGCTCATACAACCACTGAGTCTGGGCTGCAGTCAAAACAGGAAAGAAGAGAATGGCAGAAATAATGCCATTAATTGTTTCTCAAGAGGCTGGAGAGGTGCACTGACAAAAAGTGACTTGCACTGAGAAGCTGTAGGGTCTGAAGTTTAAGGTTTTGGCAGGTGAATGAGGACAGCTGAGGGTGAAATAGAGGAAAGAGTGAGGGACTGTGAAATGAATACTCTGCATTTCCATCAGAAATAGGTAACATGTTTATGTGGAATTTTGTCCCAACAGGAGGAGAACGGGCACTCATGCTCCAGAAATTCCTGCAGGTGACTCCTGCAAAGGAGCAAAATGTCCTGCAGGAACATCCTCAGCACTTGCCAAGCTGAGACCAACATTTCTTACCTTCCTTCCTTGGGCTCAGCCAGTGAGGGATGACAGTGGCATGTTCATGCTGAGGGTGGCAGCTGTAATAACCCTCCAGGTTTACACAGTTGCTTTTCTCAGGGCAAGCGTTGAATTCAGCATAGGAACATTCATTGACATCTAGGAAGAACAACACAGTTTGCACAGGTACTGGGAGCAGCATCAAGACTGATCTGCATTGTGTGTAGACCACGCTCTGGTTATGATAAATAACCAGAAATCTGCAGTAATGCTCTTAGAGCCATTCTGGATGTTATCACCCAATCACTTTTTACCCCAATTCTTTGGAATTAGAGGACAGTTAGGGGCAGCTCCTGCTTACAGGAGCCTGTAGGATGCCATCCAAACCTGAGATGTCAGCACAGGGGGAAGGAGGACTACCCAGTGATTTCACTGAAAGCTGGACTGAGTAAACACAGAATAAGAAGCACTGATAATGGAGCTTATGCATGCATTTCAGGAGTGAAAATGTTCAGACAACTGCAAAGCAGTAAGTAGACTGATATAATTTAAAATTAATGTATTGGAATGTTTATGTAACATTTTAAAAGTATGTAGTAATATGCTACAGTAATTAACAGACTATAAATATGACTTGTTTCATACAAGCTACTGGAAGTAACATGGCAACAGAATATATCTGCTCCCCAAGAAAACAGTTTTTCAAAGAGTCTGTTTAATACTACTAATGGTTGTGCTACAAATATGCACATATTTGCTCTTTCATCTGAAAAACTATGTTACTGGGAGAAAATAAATTTGAGGGTTCAGAAGTGTTCCCTTCCAAACTACTCACTCCAAAATAACCATTAACTCTCCATCCTATAACAGAACGGTCAGGGCCGTGTTTGCAAAGTTTGCAGGATCCTCTGTGCAAAGTAATGGTTATATAAATGAGATCCCAAGCGAAGAGGGATGAAACCCCCTGAAATGTGACAGGATTACAATCAGTGACCTTGCACTTGTGTGTCAATCACTTCATACACTCGCTTCACCATGGCCTTCAGGGAGGAGGAAACCTCTGCCAGAGGAGCTGGCTGCTGCATTCCCAGGAGAAGCTGAGAGGCCACTGTCCCAGCGTAGATGTCCCCACGGTCACTCTGGATGTGGTGCACAGAGGCATTCAGGGGCTGCAGTGCTCCAGTGATCTGGAAAACAGGGCAGCAAACACTGGAGCACCTTGGTCATTTCCCAGTACATGAATTATGCAGTGGTTATTATCATAATCTGAGTGTAGGAAGAAATTCAGAAACCATGGCAAAGTGGTACCGCTTGGGCCTGTGTTTATGGTGAGTTCTTATTTTCACATTTCACAACAGATTTATGGTACAGAAATGCCAAGCTGCAGGGCGTGTGGAGCTGATCTCAAAATGCTTTGGCAGAAGGAGTAACCCAGGAAGAGGTGGGAAAAGTCCTGCTTTGAAAAGTCTCAGTGGATTACAATACATTACACAGGCCCCTGCAGTTTGGCTGCAATAAAGCTGTCCAACACTTCTCTGAACAGCTAAATGGACTGCTGGCAAAGGGAATAGAAAGAAGAAGAGGAAAAAGCAACAGACTCAGGATGAGGAGTGGGATTAAGAGCCACAGAGAGACCCCAGGCACACCAAGCCATCCCAGCTGAGAGTCAGGAATGAGAGAAGGGATCTGCTGGTGGGCTGAGCATTAAGAGTCAGTGGAATGGACAGCAGGACACTGAGTAGCAGCTCCTTGAACAGCTTCACCTCAACTCCCCATTTCTTGAGTGTTTGACTCCCACATAGCTTGTTTTAAACCAAGATACAAAAGCCTTGGTGGATCCCTTGGTGGGTTCAGCCCCTCTGCTGCTACTACACAGCAACAGGACCAGGGTTTATTGCTTTTTTAGGATATGAGAAGGGGAAATTAGATAGGAGGAAGAATTACACCCATGCTGTTATCATTTCTATTCTCCTGCCCGTCAGTGCCAGCAGATTATAGCAGATAGGTTTGTCTTGGAAAGGCTTAACTTAAAATTCTGTATCAGGAAATATCATGTTTTGAGGGGCTTGAAGTCTGTCATAGGCCCAAAACTGAAGTGAGAGCTGGAGCAAACACTACTTAAGCAGGAAAACCTCCTTTATTTCAGTTTGTCTCTAAATTGCCCTTGGAAGAGACCTGAAAATTTGCTAAAGAAGCTGGTCAATCAATGTTACTTGAATTGCTTAAGGACTCAGCTGACATTCAGTAATCAGAAATACAGAAATAATCAGAAATTGGGCCAAAAAGCATCAATCTGGCAGAACAAAGGGTGAGCAAAGAGTGGCCCCTGAGGAACAGAATCATGGGCACAACGAGGGAAGAGTGTTTATACATACCACAGAGTGCAAAAGGCGGGAATGATTCAGAAGGTGGGGATCCACCCGGATTAATTCATTAAAATCCATTTTCACGAGCACTGTCACGTTGTACCAGAACGTCCTCCCTGCAGCACAGGAAATAAAACAGCCAAGTCATCTGAGCTCTGGTGCTAGAGAAGGCAACAGAGCTTCAGGGAGGCTCTGAGGAAACAAAGCAAGATTTAACTTGGCAAAATGTGAGGGGCCCACGAGCAGCCACCAGCCAGGGCCTCGTTTGCCATATGCCACAGGCAGAGGAGCCAGCAGAGGAGAAGGAGCCAAGGAAGGAGCCAAGGAAGGAGCCAAGGGAGGTTTGCTGGACCCACAGCACCCACACACCACTCAGTGCTCACGGCTGCAAGCACTGGAGCTGAATATCCTGGAATCCATCCAAAGCAGATTCCCGTATTTGTTTCAGGAAGAGCTATGGTAACAGATTTCCTGCCCACTCCTACCCTCAGGAGGGAAAATTAAGGATATTTCTATTAGAAGCAGCATTGAATTTATCAGTAACATACCCTCTGGCATGGGATCCACACAGCCTGCTCCTTTGGATGAGCTGCAGCATTTTTTCAGCCCTGGACATTCAGTATCGAACGTGCAAGGATAATCAAATGTTTCCATATCCTTCACTGGACAAATACCAGGTCTTGAGGCAAATACACTGGATCTATTGAGTGCTAAGTAACAAAAACATTTCTGAGAACAAAAATACAGAAAGTTGTTTCCATAAAATTGTGATATTTAATTTATACCAAACACCTCCTCCTCATTTTACAAGCATGTCTGCTCTGAGTTTTTAATGGGAAGAAAACAGCAGCCTAAAATATCATTATTTAATTTCAAAGGTGTAAATATTCTCAGATATTTCTCTTGTCCATGAAATTTCTGTTGCAGAAATTTTGAATTTCTAACTTTCCATTAATAATTATGGATGGGCTCATAGTTAAGTTTCTAAATGTGGAGACACTGAAGCACCGTGGAACAGAAAATGTTCCTGGTGTCAGCTGTGACTAATCCAAATAATATCTAATGATCAAAGAAAACAGGTACTGTGCAAGATAGAAATCAAGAACTTTCATTTAATATTTTTTGGCATAAATTTAACCTTGGTTGCACTAATTCTGTTCCAGCTGGCCACTCCCACTCCAGCCCATGCCAGAGAGGGCATCTGAGGCAGGAGGTTGCAGGAGACAGTGGTTCTGGGTCAGTGCCAGCACAAAATCTCTTCTATGGAGGAAAAAAAAAGATATTTCCAAGCTCTATAAACTCACTTCTTTACCCACACTCTCAAACACAGCTCCAAGTAATGCTCAGCTCTGGTCTTTCTAAGCAACCTGAAAGAAATCTCTTTTCCGTTCATTTTTGATCCTTTACTGGGCAATTAAAGTCAGCCAGGAGAAAAATGGACCTGATTGTTGCAATAGAAACAGTTGTGGTGCAGGAAAACCACGTTTGACGTAATAAAACCCATAGCAAGTGAAAGATCCACGGCAAACTATAAATCTATTATGAGCAGTTCTGTGGGTTTACAATTTCTGTTATGCCAAGGCTCTGGATGAGAGCAAATGTGAGGTTTCTGAGAAGCAGGAGGGGATATTGAATCTAGCACTTTTGGCCTCAGCAAAGTACGTTTCTTAGCCAGGGAAATTGTCTTGGTTAACCAAGACTTAAACTGAATCTACAAAACTTGCTGCCACATGCACATTCCAGATCCTCCTCTGTCTCTGGGGCTGGAACTACAGGTGGTTCCCCCAAACAGGTCCTTTTCCTAGAAATATCCCTCTTGATTTCCAAAGCCACATTAAGGTGTGATACAGCCTTGGCTGCTCTTAGCTGAGTCTCACATACATTCCCAAATGATTGCTCCTTCTCAGCCTCCTGTGCAGGGAGCTGAGCAGCCCCTCACACTGGATTTTGCACAAACACAAACACCCTGTGTTGAAAAATTCCCTATTCACCCTGGTTTGAGCAGGTGGATCCTGGTCAGCTGGACCCAGGCATGGAAATTCCTCCAGCCCTGATATTCAGGTGCAGTTCAAGCAGGCTTGAGGTCCAAAGTAGGTTTTTTTTCCCCACCTGTGTCTCTTTATTTTTTTTGCTGTGTTTAACTGCAGTGTAAATGGTTTAATGAGTCACATGCAGTCTCAGAAAACACTATTGAATCCTGGCTGGGTGCCACAGCAGCCATTTATCCGAAATCAAAAGGTCATCGTTTTCGGATCAACGGAAACAGAGATGGATTCACTTCACATTTCTGCCTAATTGTACCAGATGCACTTTGAAAATTCAATTTGTGCCCTCCTCTTCAATCATGCTGGGGACAGTCACCTTCCAAGCAAGCAGTGAGGAGCAAGCCAGCCAACTCCTCTGTCATTTGGATGAAGTACAGGCTTTTCTCCTCCTTTATTTCCACAAATGTATGGAAGCAGAACTGCAGCTTAGCAACCAAAGGTCACTTGCCAGCCTGCCTCTGGACAGCTGCTAGATCTGCCATCACTGCAGGATGGGGCAGGAGATTGATGCTGAGGGACAACTTTAGCTCAGCCATAATCCCCTTCCTCTCCCTCCTTCCCTCTGGAAGGGATGGATTCTTCCAGAGGGTGTGGTGGACCCAGGGACCAGCACCCTGCATTTGTCTCAGGTATCAGAAGGTGGAGACAAATCTATGAAACTACAGAGAAAGCTCCTGGGAAAGTCTGTTCCAAAGGCAGGCTGGCAGTTTTCATCACACAACCCTGGTTTTGGGGTCTTGGAGCATTGGTAAGCTTTACTTGCTCAGGTGGACGTTTTCCATCCTGTTTGCCTCTCCAGGGGTTTAATTGGGATTTGTGCTGATCCAGAATCTGACAAATATTTAACACCCTTCCTGGCTGTTACTTTTGCTTTGGAGGGGAGAAGGCTGAGGGGGATGTGATCAAGGTTTACAAAATCCCAGAGTTGGGGGGCAAGGTGAAGGCGGAGCTGGTTTTCACCAGAGCCCACAATGATAAAACAGGTGAAAGAACTCACTTCTTTACCCAAACAGGAGGGAACTTCTGCAGTTTGTCAGCACAGGGAGTATGGAGACAGACAGCTTCAGTGCGCTCAAAAAGGGACAAGGCAATTCCCAGACAGGATTCCCATGGATGGATGGGAATTGTGGCAGGGATGCCGATAATCCCATTTCAACAGCTGCTGGGGGCACACAAGGGACACAAACTGCAGGGAAGCCAGAGCCACCTGCTTCTGGGTGAAGTCCCACAGGACATTCTGGCACCTTCCCACCCCAGGCTGATGCTGCAGTGCTGCCCAAATGTGACACCACTGTCCCCTGGCTTTCCTGAGGCAGCTGAGCACAGGGACAGCAGTGCCCCAGCTCCTGCTGCTCTGGTTACAGTCAGCATGGAAACATCTGCATGGCAGCTCTGGGAACATCTGCATGCCAGCTCTGCAAGGTCCCAGCCTGGCTGAGGAGCTGCTTGGACACCTACAATCAGCTTTTTTTTTTTTACTTCGTAGCTGCTTTTCTGAAAACCTTTGGAAGTTGTGCACATAAGGCACAGTGATTAAATCATGATTTTAACATTGCACATCAAGTGCTCTCAAGAAACTCCACAATTAAAGTTGTCTTGGGCCTTCTTATTTCAAGGTATTTTTGTACATGTGTGCTTAAAACCCAGCATTCACCATGTGCTGATGCACTCTCCCTCCCTAGCTGGGGATCAGGAAGGGTTAGATGGCAGATAAGGAGCTCTCTGGTTTCATCTTATGCTGGAAAGTGGGCAGCAAGCCAGTCACCAGGAGAAATAACCATCCCATCCATTCAGGCAGCTGGAAACAAGCCTGGAGAACTGGGTCCTATCTCTACCTAAAAGACAAGATGCTGGGAGAAGTTTTGTGTGGTGAAACAACCTTTCAGAGCAGTGGATTTCACAGGCCCGTGAGCTTGACCTGCAGCCCTGTGCCCCAACCATACAAGTTATTTAAAAGCAGCACTAAGCACCATGGAAATCAGAATAAATTTATGAAAAAATTAAAACTGTACCCAAGGTGTCTGAAAGCAAGTCTGAAACCGACACAGAATGGTTTGATCACAGATTTTCTGCAGTTCAGTTGCCCATCTGTGAAAGACACAGGAGCTCCCTCGCTTCCCATAGCCTTTGTGAGGACAAATTGCTGCCTGTGAATCCCCCAGGATTCACCTAAAAGGTGATAAATAATTCTCTGCTCAGTGAGAGGCTGAGCAGAGCACTGAATGTGGAGGTCAGGATGGCACACTCTGGGGAGCTCCATCATCCCTGGGCACTGGGAAATGTGGGAAATTGGGGCACTGCAGAACTGGATCAGGTAATTAAAAGAGTTCACTGATCTGCATGCATGAGCAAAAAGAGAGAAAACAAAGGTTGTTTTATTTAATTCTACCTTAAGAATGGATTCCAGCACTTCATAACTTTTAGATATTTAACTTTCCAGCTGTTATTTAAAAATGTCAAAGTCATTTGTGTGTGTACCTGTAACCCTATCCCAATGGACAGAGAACTAGTGAGAGCTACCAGAGCAACTTGACCAGTGATCTAGACATTTTTTTCCCCAAGAGCAAAGAAATAATAAAAGCAGGGCCTGCCATATCCCAGGCAGGGGTAAATGTTTCCCTCTAGGATGAGAAGGTGAGGAGTGGCCAGGAACAGGCTGCTGTGGAAAGTCATGGAGACCTTTCCATTCCTGGCAGGATGGAGAGCATGCCAGCATGGATAACGTCAAGAAGAAAATAAGAGTAGTTCAACAGCGTGCTGTGCAGTAATTTCTGCAGTTCCAGTTTCTCTTCTCATCATTTATTTAAGACTGTGTCTAGACAGTGCATTACCATTCACAGAATTTATGACTAATGCCCTGAAAAGCAAAGATACCAGAATAATGTAAACAAGGAAATCACCTAGAAGCCATACAATAAATGGTTTTAAACATTCCCAAATTAACTTTGACAGGAAAAAGTGTCAGGGTGACCACAGTATTTCATGGACAAACTTATCCAGAGTGCCCATCAACAACATGGCAAGAGCAGGGTAGAAATTCTGCAGCTAAGCTTTACAAGAGATTTACAGATTTGTTCATGTTAGATGAAACAGAATCATCAACAGCTCTCAAGCCTAAAATATCCCTAGAGATGCTTTTAAGAGACAGAATTGTACTGGGAGAAAAATATTTCAAGTGTTACCAGGAAGCTTTTTTTTTCCCCACACAAGAAGATAGTCTTGATGTTCAGAGGTTCAGAAACACTTGAATTTCTTGTGCAAACAGTGGCAACCACGGTGACTTTTCCACATTTGGCTGGCACAGCTCTTCTCTTGTGCTACAGAATTAAAAAGCTATTTTCTCTGATTGGTTCTCAGTCTTGTCATTTGATACCTACAGACACACATGTATGCACACCTCTGTATATCCAAAAGACTTCACTGAAGTAACTTTTCAACCATAATTAGTTGCACTGGAGATTTTACCCCAGCATGGAACCGATGCTTGGAAAATAGAGATGATCAGCAGCAGGTCCTTTGCCTGTCTGACAAATCTGCTTGGGCACACAGTAACCTGCAGCTCAAATTCTGCTTTGCTGGGACTCCACAACAGCCATGGAGCCAAACATCAGCAGGACACAGTAAATTAGGAATTACACTTTAATTTCTCTTCTCTAGCAAATCATTTCAGGAACAAATAAAACACATGGACAATTTTTGTGTTCCCATCCTTCTGTTAAAATCCTGCTAGTCACAATATTCTACCTGTGACTGTGGGGAAAATGCCTAAGGGAAAAAAAGAAAAACATTTGGAAGGTTTTTTTCCACTGCTCTGAAGCAACTGAAATGTGGGATGAAGACATTGTTCTTGACAGATCCCATGACAGGACATATGGCTCATCCCCCCTCAAGTCACGTTATATGATCCGGTGCAGGAGCAGGTTTGGGGACATTCCCACAGATCTGAGTCACCCAAGTCTTATGACCCAAAACAAGGGCCAGGGCTGCAACAGGACCTTTCCTTTCAATCTGCTGTTCCTGTATGTGTTTATGTAAATGCCCAGGTCCATACTGACAAGTGGAAATAGAGAAAATGCAATGTCATGCTGAAAACAGGAGACAAAACTATGTCCTGCAGAACTTTTCCATATGACAGAACAGTTCAATGCTGGTTTAGATAATTCAAGATGCCTGTTCAGCTTAAAAGCATCTAAATTTATCCACTGGAAAAAGAAAGTTCTTTTTCCCCAAGGAATCCCATCCATCCATGTCTCAAGCTCTAATAAAAATGGGAATTTCTGATTGACAGCTGCAAACCCTGATGTGGGAAGGGGAAAAAGCTTCCATCTTGAGACAAAGCTGATAAAGTCTTCTTGAGCAGAGTCTTATTAACACTCAGATGTTAGATCAGATCCACCAAAAAGTTCACCAGTTCTCAGACCTCCCACATAGTCATAGGTAACCAAGGAAGTCCTAAGAAAATGGGTCCTAGCGTAGTTTTGGTTGGAAAGCATCTGGCATCAAGTTGCCCTGAAGCCACAGGTTGTCTTAAATTTGAACCAAAAATGGGTTTGCATTCTGGAAACAGACCCTGCTCCACATCAAAGGAGATGCTATCCCAAGTGCATCCTGAATTACTTTTGAGGAGAAAGCTCCTGGTGTAGATGCAGGCAGGCTCAGAGCAGACACTGCACCAGACAGTGAATTACTGCTCTTGGCCAGGGATATTGGCCTGAACTCAGACAGGTAATGAGCCCTTGGAGGGCTAACAAGCAGCTGCCTTCCTCAGGCTCCCCTGGAAGTTTAGTAAACTTGTGACTAGAGGTGGCAGAAAGCAAGAATCAGGAGCTTTAATGTGCTGTGTCTACTCCTTGCCGGGTTGGACAAAGTTAACTGTATATTATTTTAAAGTCATTTATTTCAGTTAATAGGAGCCCATGGCCCAGAACTGAATTAAGCCTTTACACATCTCAGCTGAAGTGAATCTTCTTCCATAAGAAGCATTTATTTCATCTCTTAATCTGACTAAAACTTACCTAGAGAGCAGTAGAGTCCAGCTTGTTCATATCCTTCGCAGCAATCTGTGAGAGTGATGGTTTCAGGGATTTCAACGCTGTGAAACTGCGTTCTGTGGTGTGTCTGGGGACACACCATCCATGTGATCCACCCTCCACAGGGTATGTTCTTCTCATAGGACTTTTGGTAGGCAACCATTTTTAGCACACTTTTGGTCAGGGTGTAGTTGCACAGGTGGTACCCCAGCAAAGAGAGGCCTTTTTCTAGGAAACACAAGCAGGAAAGAAAGGGATCAGCATTAACTTGTCACCCCAGAGCAGAAGCTCCCTGCAGTATCCAGTGAAACACAGAGTGATAAGAAAGCAGTGACAGAACCAACACAGATGAATGATTCCCAGGAATGCTGATGTTGGGAAGAACATTTCTTCAAAAAACAGACACAAGAAAGAATTGGTAGTGACTGCTTGTCACAGGCATCACTTTGGTCATGAAAGGATGAAGACTGGCAGAAAATTCTAAGAGTTCTTGGTGCCTTCAGGTGTGAGGCAGAAAAAGGGCAATTTAACTCAAGCTAATAATAAGGAAATTTACATATGTTAATATAAATTAAGAGTAGAACACAATAGGCACTTCCAGGGCAGAGTCATCCCAGTAGTTTAAAAGCCCACTCCAGCCTCCTGCTGCCAAAGCCTTCATCACTCTCCACTGACTATAAAGGGAACAAAGGGTGAGGAGCTCATGGGCAGATGAGTCACAGTAGATGTCTGGAATAAGACATCCTTCAGACATCACCCTAGGCTAAAACTGGGTACTCATACATCACTGGGAAGCACTTCCAGGTAGCTGACACAAAAGGTATTCCTGGAGATCCTGAGCTGCCTCTCTGCATTTGTAGCAGACCTTGTTGATCACACCACTGGAAACCTGCAGTGGTTCACTGGCTTTGAGTATAAACAAAGTCAGTGATAAGGTCATTAACTGCATCATTTCACACAGGTCTGGGGATGGGACTCAGCTTCCAGGGTTCTGAAACCATTTCTGATGAGGAGTGAACTCATGACTTTACTTAAAACTGAAATACTTCAGCAGGGAAAAAACCCCAACGTCAAACAACACAAAGAAACCCCAATAACAGCAACAAAGGCAGCTGGAGTTTAAGAATTAGCAGTAGGCAACCCACAGTCTTGTCACAGACATCAGGCTGGCTCCTGATGAGATGTTATAGAAGCCAGAGGGGCTGAGTCACCCTGTGTCCCATTTGGGCAACAGATCGGATGGAATTGAAATGCCTCTATCATCCTCTAGCCAAAGCAGAAGAAAATTTAATAAGGAGAAATATGAATTAGCTGCAGAGATTCAAATATAGAAGGATTTTTTTTTTTTCTTTTCTGAGAACTCTGAGGGCACCAGGGTCAGCCAACAGGCAGACTGAAGCCAACACAATATACACAACAGGCATATAGTTAAAACATTTCCAGCTTATCCTATTTGTACAACTTATCTCCTGCCTCAAAACATGAAACATGTTTAAAACAATTCATGAAGAAAAAAAAAAAAGAATAAGAATTGTCAGGCTTTCAGGAATCCTGTGCTTTTATCACATTTAGATTTCCAGTTAACAAAAGACATTTGTGCAATTTGAGCAGGACTAGGAAAAGAGCTTTGGAGTGGAGGATCCATTTGTAGTGCAGGGACAGTCCAGAAGAAAACAAGGAACAGACTTGGTGTCTAGATGTGGTCTCTGGAAGTGCAGCCCTGCTCTGCCTCACTCCTGCAGCAGAAGGCAGAGCTGATGCTGGGTTGAGCTCCAGAGAGTCCATGTGAGAGCCAGAGAGCTCCAGCAGAATCCAGGGAATCTGTGCTGCTGCTTGGAGCAGGTCAGCAGGAAAATACTGCCAGGAAACCCCACTCCCTCCTTCTTCCTCCTGGCCAGCCTCCAGCAGGGCACCTCTGTGCCCCCTCCCTGAAGGGACAGCAGCTCAGAGGTCCATTGGAAAAAGAAAAGATGTGAGAGCTCTCCACATCCCCGGCTGGCACCAGGGCTGCTCTTGGTCCCTAAGCAGGGAGTGGAAGGAGGTGGTCAAGAGGGACAGGAAGACACCCAGCCTAGCTCAAAGCCTGGCTCAAAGCCTGGCTCAAGCCCAGACCCTGCCTGAGGCAGGAGAGGATCCCAAAGGCTGGGATGGAGCTCTGACCAGGACATGGAAGGAGTGAGCCAGAGAAAGCAAGGTGACCTCTCCCTCTGGCTAACTTTAGGATAACTCTCTAGGAGAATGGAAAAGGAAAACAAACCTGTGTTCTGGAGCAGGAATCAGAGATCAAGGGCTGCTTTTTATTCAGTGTATTTGAACCATTAACACCTCACACGAGGCACAAGTGCCTGACAAGAAACAGCTGTTATTGCATTTTGGAAAGCATTCCCTTGCCACGTGTTAAGACTGCTCCAAGAATACCTTTCTCCACAAATGCTTCCAGGCATGTAGGTGTGGGGGGAAAAATAATAAAATCTTACTTCAGCTTTTGTTTCGGTTTTTTTGTTTTGGTTTGGTTTTTTTGTTTTGGTTTTTTTTTAAATTAGTTTGTAACTTGAATGGCTAAATAACCAGAGTGGAACAGAATTAATACCTAAATAATTCTGGTTATAGCCTTTCCCTGGAGAAAGTGCACAAACATCTATTGTGACCATGGAAGGAGACAGGAGCAGGAAAATACTGTTCTATGAAAAAGAGAAAGAGAAACTCCTGTATTAAGGAATCTGACTGTTACAGTATAAAATCACATTAGAGGGGAGTAGGGCAGGTAAGAAGCAAGAGCTCAGCCTTGTTCCTCATCCTCATGATCTCTCTTTTTCTCCAGAGCTCACAGAAAGCCTGGCAAGAGCAAGGCAGGGACTGGAAGGGAAAAACTGAGTAAGGAGAGCACTGAGGATTCGTGTTGTCCGTGCAGAGCTGAGGCTGCAGCCAGGACGTAGCACTGGAAAGCTAAAAATTCCAGAGTCAGCTGGCTCAGTCTCTACAGCAATGTGCAACATAAATACAGGTATGAAACTGAGAATAAGATGGTGTAGAATTAGACACAGTTTATAATTGGAAGCTACAGCTGTCAGAGCAGATATGAAGTCATATTTCATACTTAAACATTGATACTAGGTACATATATATAAATATATATACACACAAAGTATAGAATGAGGCTGCCAAAGCCTAAAGAGCTCTGAGAAAAGGCTGTGGTGGTAAAAAATGATGCCCTCAGTGCAAGAAGTTGGACTGAAGGCATCAGGGACAGTTGCAGCACCACCAACCTTTTCCCCATCCATCACTTCCATACTGTTCTAAACAACCTTTGACACTCACAGAGCTCAATTATTTTGCTGACAGCAGTTTTGCTGCTGAGCAATGTGGCTTGGATCAATTTAGGCTCTTTAGCAAATTGGCTTTCTGTTCTTATTACTCCCATCTATGGGATTATGGCACAATCAAATGAATTAAAATGCACTGGCTGCTGTTTTCAGCGACCCACAGCTGAAGTCAATGGCACAGCAGAAGGCAGTCACCTGCCATTAGAATGGGTATGTTACACCTATCATTTCTGGATTTTAGGATTTTGTCTCAGAAACCACCAGCTTTCAGCAGCATCAGGGAAAATATAATTTTTTATTTTTTTTTATTTAAAAAAGAGCATTAACAATTAATGCAAACCCTTTATTAACAGAAACAAACACTGAAAGGAAATCCTGGGAGCAAAGGCTGCACAGGAAAAAACTCCTTGGAACTCAGCGTTAAGCCTAGATCAGAACTGAGAGCATGACCAAAAAAAACAGCAATAAAAAAATACTTCATAGCATTTATGCCACAGACAAAGCTGCAGTTCTGGAAACTTCACTACTCAGGTGCCACAGGAGCCACTGTGAGCTGGGATCTGCAAAATCTTTTCTCACTGGAGAGCAGTAAGACTGAAAGGCAAGTGCCAAAACCTCAAAAACAAACGGTTGGAACAGGATGGAGGGCAGATTCAAGCTCATTTTTGAAATGCAAACACTCCAAAACATTAAAAAAATGAATCATAGACTCGATTTTCCTACAAATTCCAAATTTTAAAGTCAACACCATTTATTTTAAGTGGCACTAGGATGGGAGTTCTATTGACCCTAATCTCTGCAAACCTCTTTTAAGCTGTGGCTTTGACAGAATAACAGAAAAGTCTGCAAGGTTCTAAGAAACATGGTTTATATTTAACTGAGACTCACAAAACCACTTAAGTAAAAAAAAGCAATGAAGAGCAGTCAAAAATCATGATATTTTCTCATCTAAATGAATCAAACCAGAAATGAAGAGTAAATTAAAGGTTCATTTAGCAGTTACAGTTGGGTTAGGGTTTTTCAAAATTACAGTCCATACCACAGATGAAATTTTAAGCTTGTCTTCTACAGCTTCATCTTATGCATCCCTGGGAATTTGCCAGGCACATTACTACATCATTTCCTGCTAAAGCTTATTTTAAAGACAATTTTCATAAAAATTTGCACAATACTGAAGACAAAGCAGAAACATTCCTCGTTTATTTCTGGCACAAAGGAAATGACAAGGATTTTGCCTGGGGATGAAAGGCTGGGGACAAAGGTTGCGTTTTTGCTTGGTTAGATTTTCTCTGTTCAATTATCGACAGAGGATTTTTAAATGGTCACTGGGACATTGCCAGTTCTCCAGAGAGTGGCTGCCTTGGCTGGTTTATTTCAAAGAATTATCTATCCAGCATCCAAACTAAGCTGTCCTCTGGCCAGGTTTGCATCACTCACCTGTAGTGTCATCTCCTCTTCCCTGCTGTGAGGCTGCCCAGAGGATGAGCACAGAAATGAGAGTGATCCTGGCCATCCCAGGGCCCATCCTGGATAAACCTTTCTTATCTCTTTGTTTCCAAGGTGGCAGAGCTTGGCTGTCCTTACACTTTGGCTTTTGGATTAGGGGAAAAGGTGCTCTGGGTTTTTTTACCTTTTGCAGGGAGGTGATAACTGCTGGCAACAGAAACAAAGATGCTCCGCTGGGAATTTTGCTGCTCCTCTCTCCTTTGTGCTCTCTCCAGGGGATCTTGCCTCTTCTGCCTGTTCAACTTGGCTCCTCTGGCCTGACTTTGAGAAAAAGCCATTTTAAAACTGCTGGTTTAGTCCCTGTTTATCCTTCAGAGTGCTTATTCCCTCTCACACCTTAAGCACTCAACTTCTGGGAGCCAGACTCACCTCAAATATCAGGTATAAACATCTTGAATTCAGTTCCTGTCCACACATCAGGTGGTACTGCTTTGAAGGTCTTTAATCCTGAACCTTGAAAGCAGACTAAGAGTAAAAGCAAATACCTGTGTGAATGTTTATTCCTGAGTTTAAGCTGTTTGTCCAGTTGCTGTCCCTGTGCTCATTTCACTGCAATTCCAACATTCCCTAAGCCAGAGCAATGCCAGAAAATCAAGAACCTTGTTAAGCAGAGCTGAAAAAACAAAAATCTTTTTTTTCTTTCCCATTGTCTTACTAATCAAGGCACATTCCCAAGATAGATGAGCCTCCAGCTTTACAACACATGACAATAACTTGAGTGCAATGTCACTTGGCTCAGGCAAAGACAAGGAGTGAACACGGGATGATATTTTATGAGGAGCTGACGCTAAAGGATGGAAAATCACAGGTACAGCTCTTGGAGCTGAGGCAATATGTTCAGAGAAGCACTTAAATACATATCGCAGTGTTGCAGACAATTTCATGTGGATGGAAGGGATCTGGAACCACAGACCCTCTCATTTGTCTATGTTCAGGTAGCAGAGATGGGGCCTTGTGTAGCACTGAGGCACTTGTGAGCTGTTCTGGCTCAGAAAATCAAATATCAAGCTCATCAAGGGGTAAAGAAAATTAAAAGGAGGAAGAACAAAGGAAAATTAAAGCTTGCCCAGGAAGAAGAAGAAAAAAAAATCGGTATTGTAGAATGCTTTAAAAAAAAAATTTAAAAAAGAAAAAAATAATTGATGTGGAAACGTTTCTGCTCCAAGGAGATTGTTCACCTTAGCACCAGGATGTCCTTCCAGGCTGTATCTATCCACAGATGCACCACTTACATCTCCTGTCAGGAAGGCAACAAGAAGCCCATGGCTGTAGCTGGGCAGAGGATGCTATCTGACTTTAAAACCCCACTAATAAATAAATAATCATAAGAAAGAAGACTCAAGTCAATGAAATTCAATATTCAAATATAAATATTTCTCTTCATGATCTGTATATATATATTTTTTTAACTATCTAAATTTTCAGGAAAAAAAGTCTTGGTTGAATTTTTTTGTCTTGCACTGACAAAAAGCAGATCTTTAGCCCTTAGAAATTTCTGGGTCCCTCCTATAAAGAAGTATATGTCTTGTCCAATTTCAAATACAGGTAATTCCAGACTGACATGTGAATTGGATTCCATCTGAGTTGGAATTCCATTGCAGTAGTAAATTAAATGGTTCCTAAATACAGAATGTGCAGAACCCCCTTTTGAAATAAAAATTTGAGAAAAGTCAGTGGTTAAATGGTTAATCCAAACAAGAAATAGATACAGAAATAATGTGTATTTCAGGATTTACCTCACAATTTACAAATTCTTTGAGGTTCTGATTTATATCAGCATTATTTCTTCAGTTACCATCAGTTAGGCTCACAGAAATTTACTTTATAGCAATGCAGACACTGGAAAAGACCACTCAGGCAATTAAGGATGCATCCTGTGTCCTGTCCAGCCCTTTTCATGTCTTCCAGCCACATTCTTGTCCTGTATTAATTGCAGCAAGTTTAAGATTTTGTCCTGCATCCCCTGCAGCAGCCCATGCTCTTCATAATACTGTGATGAGTTACACTGGCTCAGCACAAGCCAACACAGTTTCCTGCAGGGAAACTACAGATTGATCAATATTTTGGATACCTGAACATCTGTACATGCATGGATTGACAGCACATTGCACCAGTTTTAGTTACCATCATTGTATTTCACAGATAATTTTTTTGGCTTTTCTCCCTTATCCCTTTTAAGTGTTCTCTGTTTCCCAGGGAACAAGTGACAGAACAAGGAGAAATGGCCTCAGGCTGTGCCAGGGGAGGTTCAGGTTGGACATCAGGAAGAATTTCTCCACTGAAAGAGTTGTCAGCATTGTCAGGGGCTGCCCAGGGAGTGCCCATCCCTGGAGGTGCCCAGGGAAGGGCTGGACGTGGCACTCAGGGCTCTGGGCTGGGTGATGAGGTGGGGATCGGTCAAAAGTTGGACTTGATGATCATGGAGGTCTTTTCCAGCCTAAATGATTCTGTGATTCAGTATTAGGACTCCAGCAGAAGATTTTCCCACTCTCTTTTTGGTGGTGAGGAAGGGAAAAGGAGATGTTCAGAATAAAAGCCCTGGCTGTGGAGCTGGAAGTGAGCTGGACTCCAGCCTGGAAGGAGCTCATCCCAGTTCTCCTGGCACAGTCATCTGGAGCTGATCAGTTCTCCCAGCTCTGATGTTTATACTTTCTGCAGTTACATTTCTACCATCAAAACTGATCTAAAGTTTGCCATTTATACAAGGAAGGGCTGAAAGCCACATCAAAATCCATTTGTGGATAGTGTTACGGGATTGAGAAGCAGATTTTTAGAGATGGGATTTGACTCTCCTAGGCTGTGCTATCAGTAATTGAAATATTGTGGCTGACAGCAGGCTTTCTCATCATACTTTTTCGGCATTTATTGCTCTTGACAGATTCACTTCTGATTTAATTAGTCACTTAGAAGATCCTGATCTTCTCTAGGCAAGGGGTTTGACGCAGAAAGGTCATTGCTGGAACATTTTTTTGTATTATTTTGTCTATAAAGCAATCATTATATCAGATGCAGAAAATGGTCATGACATTTCAAGACAGGCTGATATGCACAAGGGGAACAGGACTTTGGGCTCACTGGGAATTATATTTGAGGAATATATCATTGGGAATATAACAAAAACTGCTCTGTGCTTCAGAAGCCAGCACATCTTCCTGTAGATGAATAGGATCTAAAGCTTGAGAACTATTAAGCCATTTAATCTAGAATCATGGAATCACAGAATGGCTTGGGCTGCAGTTTCATCCTGTCTTGGGCAGGGACACCTTCCACTATCCCAGGCTGCTCCAAGTCTCATCCATCCTGGCCTTGAACACTGCCAGGGATCCAGGGACATCCACAACTTCTCTGGGCAACCTGTGCCAGCACCTCACCACCCTCACAGTAAAGAATTTCTTCTATATATCTAATTTAAACCTGCCCTCCTTCAGTTTAAAAATATCACCCAACATTGCCCCTTTTCCCCTCGCTATTTGGCCCTTAGAAAATTATATCTCTTTCCTTCTTATACACCCCCTTTTGTCACTGAAAAGTGCCCAAAGTTCTCCCCAAAGCCTTCTTTCCTCCAGGATGAGCAACCCCAGCTCTCTCAGACCTTCTTCACAGCAGAGGTGTTCCAGCCTTCTAACCACCTTCGTGGCCTCCTCTGGCTACACCCTGCAAGGTTCCCATCCTTCTTATGGGGTGCACCTCCAGCTGGATGCAGCATTCCAGGTGGGTCTCAGGAGGGCAGAGAAGAGGGGCAGAACCACCTCCCTCAACTTTCTGGCCACTCAAAAACCTTTCAAAATCAGCTGTAAATGCTCAGAGACCTCACCAGGCCCACACAGTTTCAGCCTGATTACAGCCTGTCAGTCGGAGAAATTCCAGGCTATGGCCACAGCAGAGTGTGGGGATGGATGGATGGAGTCCATTCACCAGTCCTGAAGATCTCACAGTGGAAATGAACAAATCCAGGACAGAAAGGCAAAGGGAAAACCATGCTGCCAGTGAAGGTGACAAGAAGTTCAGATGAGACCTGATTTCCACTTGATTTCTTCACCATGACTGCATTTTCTGCTGCCCAGTGAATTTTGTCTCACCATCAGGGCAGTCTTAAAACTGCTCCTGCTGTGGCATTTCAGATGTTTAGCAAGGGTTGTGCTCAAGCCAGTCTTTCCCTTAGTGGGGCAGTGCTAAGGTTTCTTCCCTCTTCTACATTCCTAATCTTCACAAAAACCACAGAAACTTAATTGTTTCTTTGAGCCTGCAGCTGATCTGTCAAAACTGGCTTAAATCAATCAGCAGGGCCAATGGGTCTTTGAAGAGATGAACACGCTGACTTAGCCAGAAATAACCTTTTTGCAGCCAAATACAAAAAAAACAAATAATTCCTGCCATCAGGATACAAACTTATCCCTACTTCTGAAAATGAACACATACAATGAATACCTTAATGTCTACTCCCTACAGAGAAAAGAATTTCTCAGGAACTACTCAGCTCTCAGAGTCAAAATGCTTGTCTGTGATTCCAGGGACTTGAATTCCCTGCCACTGCCACCAAGCTCTTGGGCTGTGTGAAGTCATACAGGTCAAATTTGCCCCTGCAAGGAAGCCATGGGGATGGGAGGGGGCAGAAATCCCAGTATTTCAGACCTTTTAAGAGTCACAGCTGCAATACTATACATATGTTTTCATTTGTGTTACCTGAGAAGAAAGTGGAAGAGAACAAGTACAGTTTTGCCAGCATATTTTAGGTCTGTGTTAGGATGGACACAGCTAAACTGGCCAGTTTTTGAAGGGGTCATTTTTTCCCTGAGCTTCAGGCATTCAAAGAGTGGAAGAGTAGCACTTGGGTTTTTCACTGTTGCGTTTCAAAGCATTAAAATGAAGGGACATACACAAATGACAGTAAAAAAAAAATTCCCTGGCAGCCCTAGGAGCTCATTAAGTGAACTGTGCAGGCAGAACAGTCCCTGACAGTACCCAGTGATTCGTTCTGTCTCACCAACAAACCTTCCTCAGGAAAAC